CGAAGTCCCGGCAGACTGGAGGAGGGCAAATGTTGTCCCTATTTTCAAAAAGGGGAAAAGAGAGGACCCAAATAATTACCGCCCAGTCAGTCTGACATCAATACCAGGGAAGATTCTGGAGCAGATCATTAAGCAAACAGTCTGTGAGCACCTAGAAAGGAATGCTGTGATCTCCAATAGTCAGCATGGATTTCTGAAAAATAAGTCATGTCAGACTAACCTGATCTCGTTTTTTGACAGAATTACAAGCCTGGTAGATGAAGGGAACGCAGTGGATGTAGCCTACCTTGATTTCAGCAAGGCATTTGACAAGGTGCCCCATGATATTCTTGTAAAGAAGCTGGTAAAATGCGGTCTTGACTATACTACCACTCAGTGGATTTGTAACTGGCTGACTGACCGAACCCAAAGGGTGCTCATCAATGGTTCCTCTTCATCCTGGAGAAGAGTGACTAGTGGGGTGCCACAGGGTTCTGTCTTGGGCCCGGTCTTATTCAACATCTTTATCAACGACTTGGATGATGGACTCAAGGGCATCCTGATCAAATTTGCAGATGACACCAAACTGGGAGGGGAGGCTAACACCCCAGAGGACAGGATCACACTTCAAAACGACCTTGACAGATTAGAGAACTGGGCCAAAACAAACAAGATGAATTTTAACAGGGAGAAATGTAAAGTATTGCACTTGGGCAAAAAAATGAGAGGTACAAATACAAGATGGGTGACACCTGGCTTGAGAGCAGTACATGTGAAAAGGATCTAGGAGTCTTGGTTGACCACAAACTTGACATGAGCCAACAGTGTGACGCGGCAGCTAAAAAAGCCAATGCAATTCTGGGCTGCATCAATAGGAGTATAGCATCTAGATCAAGGGAAGTAATAGTGCCACTGTATTCTGCTCTGGTCAGACCTCACCTGGAGTACTGTGTCCAGTTCTGGGCACCACAGTTCAAGAAGGACACTGACAAACTGGAACGCGTCCAGAGGAGGGCAACCAAAATGGTCAAAGGCCTGGAAACGATGCCTTATGAGGAACGGCTAAGGGAGCTGGGCATGTTTAGCCTGGAGAAGAGGAGGTTAAGGGGTGATATGATAGCCATGTTCAAATATATAAAAGGATGTCACATAGAGGAGGGAGAAAGGTTGTTTTCTGTTGCTCCAGAGAAGCGGACACGGAGCAATGGATCCAAACTACAAGAAAGAAGATTCCACCTAAACATTAGGAAGAACTTCCTGACAGTAAGAGCTGTTCGACAGTGGAATTTGCTGCCAAGGAGTGTGGTGGAGTCTCCTTCTTTGGAGGTCTTTCAGCAGAGGCTTGACAACCATATGTCAGGAGTGCTCTGATGGTGTTTCCTGCTTGGCAGGGGGTTGGACTCGATGACCCTTGTGGTCTCTTCCAACTCTATGATTCTATGATTCTATGATTTGTTGGAAGAAAACTCTCCCCACTTCCTTTCATTTAAGTCTCTTTCTATTACAAGGTTACATCTTATTTCCTCCACTGAGCAAGGCTGATCCACTGTGACTCTTGTAATGAAATAATTGTTTGGGATGGTGCAACTGTCTGGACGGATAAAACTTCCAATTAATAGTTTTCTTGGGTGTTCAAAGATGACGCATGGCATTGTTTGCTCACCCACATTTTCAGACATTTCGGCGGAATAGCACCCAAGTGCTAAAACATGCATTAGTAATTTTCTGTGTTGAAACTAGTTCAGATCTGCCTGTTCAAGAAAATACTTTTTAAAATTACTGGTGACAGGATAGTGTCTGCTTCTTTTATTATTACTTTTGTGCCAGGCTCCATTGCCCAGGCAGGTGCAATCTGTGGCCCTGTGTTGGCTAAGACTCAGTCCAAATCTTTATTGTCTTCACTGAAAAGCAGGGCTGGCATGGCAACGGGGCAAGGATCCTGTTTCACAATCCACCCACCCTTGCTGATGAATGGTCCTCTGCCAGGGTTCAGAAGAACCCTTCTTCTTCTTCTTCTTCTTCTTCTTCTTCTTCTTCTTCAGAAGTGCCCAAAACCCCTTTCATGGAAATCAGCCAGTGCTGAGTATTGGCATGGTGCAAGTCAGGTGTCCAGGGTCTCACTGGGTGATCAGGGTGAGAGATTCAAGCTATACAAGAGCCCTAACCCAAGCTTAGGGTATGCTATGGTCAATCCTTCCCTCAGGTTCCTTGGGGGGCCTTTACAAGCCTGCCTAAAGGAATTTCCTGGACATAGCCGGCAGTCTGAAGGCAGTGTCGGAAGCAGTTTTGCAAAAAAAAAAAGTTCAAGAACTTTGCCAAAAAGAAGCTCAACCAATTGGGACTAAGGGACCAGTTAAGGTTGGGAGAGAAAAATATTTTCCAGCTCTGATAGCCCAGTGAGGCTCTAACACTGAGGTGGGATGGTTGGGATGCCACATGGATGAGGCATTTTAGAGGCCTCACGCCTCCCTCCTCTCACAAGATCTTGCAGAAAATGCCACCCCACAAGAGAAGCCAACAGAGGAGGTACAACTGAGCCTTCTCACAACTCTCTGGGCCCCACTCTGCCAGACCACGTCACCCCACACCTAAGTAGCACCCAGAGCGAGGCTTATCACATTCGCCTTGGATGTGTTGAAAGAATGAAAAACATCCATCTTTTGCCACTCATTTTGCCAGTACAGTGGTACCTCGGGTTACATACGCTTCAGGTTACATACACTACAGGTTACAGACTCCGCTAACCCAAAAATAGTGCTTCAGGTTAAGAACTTTGCTTCAGGATGAGAACAGAAATCGTGCTCTGGCAGCGCAGTGGCAGCGGTGGTGCTTCAGGTTAAGAACAGTTTCAGGTTAAGAACGGACCTCCGGAACGAATTAAGTACTTAACCCGAAGTACCACTGTACATTTATTCCTTTGTTTGTAGAGTTCTTTCGGTTTCTATGTACTCCAAGTAGGATTAGCATTGGATACAGCCCAATATTTTAAAGGGGGTGATGTTCTTATCTTCTCTCATACGTATATTTTTATACTAGAATGAAGAACAGAACAGTAATAAGTCATGTCCTTGAGCGACTCTTAGAATATCTCCCTACAGCCACATTCCACTGCTTGTCCCTATCTAGTTAAACATCCTCTTCAGTTCTGCTCTTCAGGCAGGGGTGGCGTTGCTTACGTAGGCAAAATTGCACAACCCCACACAAAGGAGGCATCTGAAGACTTAGGAGAATGCCAAGCATCTTGTATATATTTACAACGTTTTTTTTAAGGAAAAGAAAACTGATGGGGGAAACTTCAAAATAGCCCACTGCGGACTGAGCATGCTTACTGAATACAGTGGTACCTCGGGTTACAGGCGCTTCAGGTTACAGACTCCGCTAACCCAGAAATATTACCTCGGGTTAAGAACTTTGCTTCAGGATGAGAACAGAAATCGTGCTCCGGCAGCACAGTGGCAACAGGAGGCCCCATTAGCTAAAGTGGTGCTTCAGGTTAAGAACAGTTTCAGGTTAAGAACGGACCTCCGGAACGAATTAAGTACTTAACCTGAGGTACCACTGTAGAACAGTCATAAGGAATAAGGGAATATCATGAAGGACGCCTCAGCACAGCAGCGTTTTGTTGCAGGCCGCAGTTGCAGCCAGATCATATGCATTAATGCTTCTTGCTTCCTCTGCACATAGAAAGCTAGCATGCTAAAGCAGGGCTGGCCCAGGACATTTTGGCACCTGAGACTACCCACAAAATGGTGTGGGGTCCCCAGGGAAGCAGGGATGAGTGAAGATCCACATCAGGAACAAGGGGTGGAATCAAATCAACTTTACCAGATGCAGTGGCGGAGCGTCTCCAGGGGGTGGAGAGCAGGAGGGGGTGGAGCTGGTGCACATCCCGGGGGTGGGGGGCGCCGCCTGCAGGGGCGTGTCATGCATCCCGGGGGCATGTCGTGCTGTGATGGCACCCCACCGGGATTGCGCTGCCGGGGGTGGTGTGCTCCCCCCGCAGTCCTCTTCCTCTGCCAGTGACCAGATGGTTGCAGTGGGAATCAAAGGCTGCTGTGGAGGGGAAAGGACCCCACTCTGGATCATAATGTGTGGATACAGACCCCACGAGACTCCAGAGGTCAGTCCCCCCCCCCACTTCCTCCCTAGGGATGGGATTAGACCAGCAGCATCTCCCATTCACCAAGAGGCCTCTGTAGACATGGCATTGGTGGGACTGCTGAGCAGGCAGCCTATCCAGCCTCCTAGGGGTGCACCAAAGCCATTGCTGCTACCACAGCGGCAGCAGGAGAACCAGGCAAAGCATTCCTTGGAGGCTGGATTGGCTGCCGCTGTGGAGCCTGCCGCCTGAGGCAGCTGCTTCACCTTGCCTCACGGGTGTGCCGGCCCTATGTCAAAGATGAGAGATGAGGCATGCCAATTCCTGTCATTAAACTTTCCTATGGGGGATGGGGAATTTAATGCGGATTTATCTAATTCATGCCTCCTGAAACTGAAATGCAACTGGGTTTTTAAAAATCTGTACTCGTCCGAATTCTTCAATGCAGTTTCTCCAACAATGAAAACCTACACAAAAATGCATTGTCAAAGTGTGATATGCACCTGCAATGAACATAATGTGCAAACGTGCATTATGTTAGGAACCATATTAGGAAAAATGTTGGTTAAAATGCAGTCAAATATCTGTGGTGACCTCTCTTTTTTTTTATATACAAACTGATGCAGAAAGAGGCAAAAGGACCTTGGCCGGAAAAATGAGGAGTAAAGTAAAACAGAAATATCTAATCATCACAGCATGTTCTGACACTGAGCAAAACATCTTCCCTTTTCTTTTTAATTTTTTTTAAAAAATTACCCAGTCTAAGGCATTGTGAAAACAGCCATGATGGTACCATTGCTCAATGATGAGCCCTTCTCCGGTTGCTAATCAGAGGATGTTGTAGCAGACGATGAGTCAGAGCAGAGGGAAGTTGTGAACTGCTATATAAATGGGGGAGATCCCGCTAATAATACAAACAAACAAAGGGAAACCATTTACTCTGCAGGCAAGGAAGACACCACCATGGCTGTAAGGATGAAGAATCTACTTGTTCTTCCATTCCTGCTGCTCATCATTATATCTTCCACTTTTGCTGCTTTACTGGGTCAAGGCAACGAAGATGAGAACACCAGGCTTGTTAAGGTAAATATTCACTTCCAAAGTTTCACTGAGCAAAAACACACTTTTCTGTGCTATTGCTTCTTGTTGTTGTGCCAGGACTAATTAAAAAAGGAGGGATCTTTGGCGCTCCTATTTTATTGAGAGCCAGTGTGGTGTAGTGGTTAAGAGCGATAGACTCGTAATCTGGTGAACCGGGTTCGCGGCCTCGCTCCTCCACATGCAGCTGCTGGGTGACCTTGGGCTAGTCACACTTCTCTGAAGTCTCTCAGCCCCACTCACCTCACAGAGTGTTTGTTGTGGGGGAGGAAGGGAAAGGAGAATGTCAGCCGCTTTGAGACTCCTTCGGGTAGTGATAAAGTGGGATATCAAATCCAAACTCTTCTTATGTTCGAATCTAGCCCTTCTTCTAAGGCTTTCAGGACAATATGCACACGGTTTCCTCTCTGTGCATGGAATCATAGAGCTGGAATGGGGTCTTGACAGTCATCTAGACCACCTGCTGCTCAGTCTGGAGTGCCAAATGCAACAACAGCATCCCTGACAGATTGCCACCTTACATTCCTCCAGTGATGGGGGCATTTTACCCTTACATCCAACCCTCCCCTAATGCTTATGATAGACATCAGGGATTTGGGGGGCTTGTCATTGGTTGTCACCAGCAGAAAGACCACTGGCAGTGATTCGTCACCTACTTGGGTGGGTCTGCAGCAGCCACAATAGTAGAGTGCACACACACACACACACACACACACACACACTACACTGCATCTGACACTCCCATCATCGACATACTACTTGGAAAAGTCAGGTATTGGTTGATTCTAAGAGTCATACCTATTTAGCTGGCTTGGATTTTCACTGTGCATTTAAAAAATAAATCTCTGGGCTTAAAAGGTAGGACAATGTGCCAGTGATATCAGGAAATATTCTGTTGACTGCATAAAAGGCCAAGATTGGGCACCACTCCCATTCCACATCTAGAACCTGACTGAATTGGCTGCTGAATATTACTTCCACTCTGTTTATCTCACATTTTTATCTCACATTGGAAACACAAAGGGTCTAAAAGCATCTCTCTCCGTCCCTCCCTCCTTCCCTCCCTCCTTTTCTCTGTTTCCCCCTGGCAGTCCTATTTAAGTAAATTCTACAGCCCTGAAGGTGAGGCCGTGGCCACAATCAATATGGATGACGATGTCGCTGTAACAGAAAAGCTCAAGAAAATGCAGAAATTTCACGGGCTACGAGTGACCGGGAAGATTGATGCCGAAACAATAGCAATGATGAAAAGGGACAGGTGTGGCGTCCCTGATGTGGAGCAATTCACCCTCAACCCAGGGGAGCCCAAATGGGACAGGAAGAACATCACATACAGGTAAAGGTTTGTGAGTTTCCCTTAGGAGTGGGAGGCTTCAATAAGGAAATGATCTAGTCCTCAGTGTGCTTGCTCAGGAGTAAACCCTATTAATAAACTTAGGACTTTCTGCCTACTGTTCTATGCAGAGTTCAGCATGCCTAAGGTTATAGATTTCACTGGGCTCAGCAAGACCTGATTTTTCATAGAACCATTGCACCACATGTATTAGGATGATAGCCTATGGCCATGGTTGTGAGAGCTGTGCAATGAGGCTTACATACACACACACACACACACACCCCGCAAAAACAGTGTGAATGCATGAAAGTACACACTCACTCACACTACCACTGCAATTGAGAGCGGAGGGTGTGTGTTAGGGATGTGCATGTACCCTCCCTCAGACAGCAAATCAAGGAGATTTGGGCTCTGCTGCCTGCAAATTTCATCCACTTGTGTGAAAAGCGGGGGAAGGTTACAGCCATATTTAGATGCATCATTGCAATCAGTGGGGACAAAACTCCTTCAGATTAACAGATCGAGTTGGGTTCCAAATAATGAGTCAAATCTAAATGACACAGAGTGGATTTGAAAAAAGATTGGGATGCTTCCAAAGGCTACAGGTATAGATACAAGGTGACTCTTGTGTTCACTGCATATCCCTAGTATATGCAATTAGCAGACTCAGGTGATAAATCTTTTCTTTTTTCTTTAAAGTGTGCACATTAGGTGCAAAGACATGCCTGTCTTGGGGCCAGAGTAGAAAGGCATGTCTTTGCACTTAGTGTGTGTGTGTGTGTGTGTGTGTGTGTGTGTGTGTGTAACCAGACTCCACTCGCTTGACTCATCCACTGGGCTACTGTTTGTATTTGCTTTGCTTTCTTTTGATGTACAAGTCAAATGAAAAGACATATTCAAATGTGTCTCTACACCAGCCTTCCCCAATCTGATGCCCTCCAGATGTGGCTGGACTCCAATTCCCATCAGTACCAGGCAGCATGATCAGGGGTGATGGGAGTTGTAATCCGAAACCACTGGATGGCACCTGGTTGGGGATTGTGGTCTGTCTGTCCAACATACCGTTTCATTCTATGTTCTGGTTGCCTAAGCAGTGCTTCCCAAACTTTGGTCTCCAGCTGTTTTTGGACTACAACTCCCATCATCCCTAGCTAGCAGCTGGAGACCCACATTTGGGAAACACTGGCCTAAAGGAATGACCTTGGGCCTTTTTTTGTTTGTTTGTTTTGAAAGGATTGTAAGCTATACTCCAGATATGCACGAATTCTATGTGGAGAAGGCAATCGAGGCAGCATTTAAAGTTTGGAGCAAGGCAGCACCCTTGGAATTCAAAAGAGTCACGGATAAAGTGGCAGATATAGAGCTCTCTTTTCAACGTGGAGGTAACCCTACAGTGCAAGAACAAAGTCACCATATGTCCAATTTAATAACAACAACAACAACAACAACAATAATAATGTATTGTTTTATATTCAGACCACTATGATAATTCTCCTTTCGATGGGCCTGGTGGGACACTGGCACATGCCTTTCAGCCAGGGAGCAACATTGGAGGAGATGTCCATTTCGATGAGGATGAAACCTGGACCACAGGGGGCCCACAAGGTACCATTTTACAACACTTCCTTTCTCAGCACTGAACTGTATAAAAAGACAACGCAGCGCATAGGTGACGCAAGGATATAAGCAACTGGTTTATGCTAGGTCCCCGAAGGCAGGCAAAGGTGATTGGCGGAACAGATGATATCCTTCCAGAGCACAGTGTGTCCTCATTTTGAACTCTTCACTACATAAAACATTTCTATGAATGAGAGTGTGACCATTGAGGAGATTCGGGGAGGCTCTAGCCCAGCCCTTTCCCTCCTATGCCACTTACCTATCCCCCAGCAGTGAGAGTCCCATTGAAAGCAATGCAACGGGACTTAGCCGCACTAATTCACATCCCAATAGGACTTAAGGCTAAATTACACACAATGTTAAATGCATTCGTGAATGTAACGTGCGCAGGACTTGGCTTTCTCTTCTGCCTAAAAACAACCCCCCAGGAGGATATCAGGATTAGCGCTAGGACATGCTGGAAATTAAAGTTTCCCACTTGCCCCATCCCACTCCCGGCATTCTGATGAATATTTCCTCCCTGTTAACTGCCCTACAATCGAATTTTCCTTTGGACCAAACACAATATTTTTGATTTGATTTATTAAATGCATCTACCGCCCTTCCTCCGAAGATCATAGGGCGGTTTGCAGCAGGAGATTCCCTCTTCTGCCAAATAGCAGGGGGGTGGGGGTGATTTTCATCAGGACTGTGGAGCAGGGAAAGGGTCAAAAAGCATCTCTATGCATCGTGGTCCCAATCCTGAGCAGTGCCCCCCTCACTGGGGAAGGCAGACATGTTAAATGTAGCTTGGCCTTCCTTTCTTCCTTTCTTTCTTCCCTTCCTTCCTTCCTTCCTTCCTTTATTTTTCTCCAAGGAGCTCAAGGTGCTTTACGTGAATCTCCCCCTCCTCATTTACCGGTAATGCCCAAAGTGACCCTGGATTGGGGTGAGAGGCAGTGACTGGCCCAAGGACTCCAACTCCCATCAGCCTATCAGTGAGCTTCCTGGCCAAGTGGGCATTTGAACCCTGATCTCCCAGGTCCTGGTCTGACACCAGCCCAGAGTTTCCCAACCTTGGGTCTCCAGCTGTTTTGGACTACAACTCCCACCATCCCTAGCTAGCAGGACCAGTGGTCAGAGATGATGGGAATTGTAGTCTGGAAAAAGCTGGAGACCCCAGGGTTGGGAAACACTGCTCTAGCCACTAGACACAGTGGCTGGGTCACATTCTGCAACCCTGATATGCAGAGCCTGTGCTCATCCTCTGAGCAGCAGTCCCTAGTGAAAGCAGCTCGTTTTATTTCCATGCCTGGAGTCTATATTCTGACCCTTTTTCTCCCAGTTTCCCCCCTAATGGAACCATGACCTCCTTTTCAGGCCACAACTTGTTCATCGTCGCTGCCCATGAGATCGGACATGCGCTGGGTCTGTCTCACTCCACTGACCAGGGGGCACTGATGTACCCCACCTACACATACTCGGACCCCCGCACATTTCAGCTCAACCAGGACGATATTGATGGCATCCAAAGCCTCTATGGTAAGGCTAAGAGAAATCACCATAAAGTTGAAACGCGTGTGTTCTTAAACGAAGGAATTGGTTCTGCCTGCCCGTATCTTAAGATGGGAGTGGGGAACATTTGCCACTCCAAGGACGACATTTCTTTCTTGGCAACCTTTCTTGGGGGGGCAGCATGGCACTGGTGGAGCCCCATCGTTCTGCCCGGACGCTGAGGTCCAGCGCCGAGGGCCTTCTAGTGGTTCCCTCATTGCGAGAAGCAAAGCTACAGGGAACCAGGCAGAAGGCCTTCTCAGTAGTGGCGCCCACCTTGTGGAACGCCCTCCCATCAGATGTCAAAGAGATAAACAACTACCTGACATTCAGAAGACATCTTAAGGCAGCCCTGTTCAGGGAAGTTTTTAATGCATGACATATTAGTGTATTTTTGGTCTTTGTGGAAGCCGCCCAGAGGGGCTGGGGAAACCCAGCCAGATGGGCGGGGTACAAATAATAAATTATTATTATTATTATTATTATTATTATTATTATTATTAATCACTTGGAGAAGTAGAATTGGTCCTCTCTATCTTCTCATCTAGGCAAGCATGAGTCCCTGTTGCTCAAAGAGGATGCGAAGCAATGTCAGAGGAGGGTCTGGTCTAGGGAGAGAGGAGGTGGCTTGGAAGGGGTGTAGCTTGTGGGGGGAGTCCCAAGCAGGCCCAGATGGGGGGGGCATATGGGCCACTTGGCCCGGGCCTCTGATTCCAAAGGGGGCCTTGGTCAGCATATTCACAATCGCAAGAGTTTATATGCAGATACGGTTCAAGCCTTGAAATAAAATTATTTGTCAGCATAACTTTTGTGAAAATTATTTATATACTTACTTATTTATAAGACTTCATTTATCCCCAGGGTAAAAAAGGGGGGGCACATTATCTACCTGGCCCAGGCCTCTGTCTGGCTCTGCAAGGCCTTGGTCCCAAGAGTGGGCTGGAAGGCTGTGTTTGGCCTTCAGGACTGAGGTTCCCCATCCCTGTCTTCTGGTCTTCTGGAAAGGCACTGCTGCTCTCCTTTGTGAAAGGGAAGAATAATAGAATCATAAAATTGTAGAGTCGGAAGGGATCCAAGGGTCATCTAGTCCAACCCTTTGCAATGCAGGAATCTCAGGGAAAGCATCCATGACAGGTGGCCATCCATCTGTTTTGATGTTGTGCTTCTACAAAAGAGAAGGCCTTTTCCACTCTTGTTTTGGAATGACTTCTGGCATGGGGGCACATTTGCTGCCAACACCTCAAGTTTCTCGGTGCTGCATGAAGATTTTTGTAGGCACATAGGCTTTTGAGTTTTGGAATTGTGCTCTGTTTTTTTAAATAGTTTTTTTTGTGAGGGGTTAAAAAAAAACCCTTGAATTTTGCCATTTTGGGGGTCAGTGATGGTTTAAAATTGGATCTATTTGTTGCACGAGTTAATTTCATTCACCCTTCCGTAGATCGCCCCTGGGATGTTTTGATGAAGGGTGGTTGAACCTATTTTAAATAAATAAATAAAGCTGATGAGTGGACCACAACCTACTGGAATATGGATGCACCTTTCAAGGGAAATGGAATGCAATTCAGAGGTGTTTTGCCATAGGTCCTCTTCATTTCAATAGGGTTTGCATAGATTGGGCCCACATCTGAATTATGCCTTGTTGCGTCAAAATGAGACTTGCTTTGCCAAAAAAAAATTTACTTACATTGTAGCAAAAGGCTTTTTTTTTTTAGTTTAACCTTCACTGAATGCTGCTGCTCTGAACATCACCTTGCTTGCTTGCTTGTTTGCTTAATAACTTAACTACTTACTTACTGTATTTCCATATGTTTAAGATTGCTTAAATTATCCACTTGACATGAGGCTTCCTTTATTTTTCTTTCCATTTAGGAAAACCTGATATCCCAGTAAAAGGACCCAAAACACCAGAAGCTTGTGCCCCCAGCACCACTTTTGATGCTGTCACCACCTTACGTGGAGAAATGTTGTTCTTTAAGGACAGGTAAGTTGCTTTCTTAAAAACACCAATTTGAACAAAATTTCCATCTCCAAACAGGACTTGCATCTCTAATGCCTTGCTCCAGCACCCCACTTGTACCAAAGCATGCGCTCAGACTCTTGGCCCTGCATTTTGAGGCGATGTAACAACAAAATGAGCCATAAGAAGCCATAAACAAATGACAATAAAAACAGCAACACCACATACCTATCGGTTCAATTGTATGTGTCATGATGGATCAATTCAGTGTTATGTGACTCTCTCTTACACAGACAGACAACAGATCACTCTATGGTGGCTTCACCCCACAACTCATAAAATCCGGCTAATAGTCTGGATTTATTCCGCCATTTTGTCACAAAAACAGAATCATAGAATTACGCAATCATAAAATGCAGAGAAAAGCATCAGACCAAAGTCAGAGCCCTGCACCATGTAGTTCAGTATTGTCCACATTAACTAGCTCTCTGGGGTTTGAGACTGGAGTCTTTCTCTCTGGAGATGCCACTTACATGTTTCCATCGACGTTTTGAAATTAGGTATTTCTGGCGCAAACACTTCCAGTCAGGTGTTCAGCTCGAATTCATCGGTACCTTCTGGCCGGATCTGCCATCTGGAATACAAGCCGCCTATGAAAATTTTGAAACTGATAACTTCATTGTGTTTAAAGGTGAGTGGTGAACTTTGATTTCCTTGCAAAATTGCTGCAGAGTAAGTACTGAAATGCATTTGGTCAGTGTTCCTCAGCCAGCACGGCCTCTTCAGGGTGCTATGTGAAAGCCTAGGGTATGTAGGCAGTATTTATTTAATCGGCTGCCTTATCCTACGTACTGTCTACTTACCCTGAAGTAAGTTCTGTTGGGTTCTGTGGAACTGAACCCCAAGTAATATTGCAGCCTGACCAAGTGAAATTTGCTCATATAATTTGGCCTTCGTGTTCTAAGTTCTGCCACGTTGCTGTCCTTCAGACTTAGCCAAGGCTTAGCAAAGGCTTCACACACTCTCAGCGACATCGCAGAATGGAAGCTAGGAAGGCCATAGTTTTTGTAGTACTAGCTTCTTCCATCTATCAAAGCTAGCATTCCCAAAAACCTTTTCGAACAGTACAATACTTTTGGGGGGTGAACCATTGCACATTCCAGTCAGGAATGCCCTCCCCAAGCCCAGTGTAAGGCAGGGGGTTGGAATGTCTTGCTGTTAGGAAAACATTATTTAAGAAACAGATAAAAGTTCCTGGAAGCTTTAAAGAGGGTTCCAGAATTTTCTTTAGTGTGTAGGAATGGCGCTCTAGGCTTGATTGGTGTCAGCCGGAGTTGCAGATAAAGGGAGGAAGTTGCAGGCTGCAATTTCCGCACAAGGAAAGCACACACACACACACACACCCACACACCCACACACACATGCTGTCAGCACACATTCTGACAACAAGTTTGAAAGTAAGACAATGTGTGCTGCTGATACTGTGAGTTTTGCTGTGTCAGGATTGTTAATTACCGGATTGAGATTATACCGTGCTGGAGAGATAAAGAAGGAATGTAAATAGCTTGTATATACAGGTTACATACGCTTCAGGTTACATACGCTTCAGGTTACAGACTCCGCTAACCCAGAAATAGTACCTCGGGTTAAGAACTTTGCTTCAGGATGAGAACAGAAATCGTGCTCCGGCGGCGCGGCAGCAGTGGGAGGCCCCATTAGCTAAAGTGGTGCTTCAAGTTAAGAACAGTTTCAGGTTAAGAACGGACCTCCGGAACGAATTAAGTACTTAACCCGAGGTATCACTGTAATAGTAACAGAAAATGCTTGTGACTGTGAATTTGAGTATGACTCCTGTTCTTGTCCTCTGTCTCCAGGGAAAACTCTGCTACAAACAGTAAGAAGTGGTTTTACCGAGGTGCCACCACACAAGCAGAAAACGCAGCAGAAGTGTGGGGGCGGTAACCTCTAATATTTGCCACATCTGCTTAGTAGGACAGAAGAGTCCATGCAATCTCTCTCACACAGGGAGAAAGCAATAATTTAGCACTCGATCTTCAGATCACCTTTTAATTCCAAGCCACTTTGGATACAATCACATGAGCATAGCCAGCAGTAACCCTAACTCTCTATCAAACTTTCCTGAAGCATCTAATATAAAACGGTTTCCCTATAAAAAAAAATATTTAAACAAAACTGTTTCCCTTGAATTACATGGAATGTTAACCCCTCTCTTTCTCCCCCAGGAAACAAATATTGGGCTCTAAATGGATATACCATTGAATCCGGCTACCCTAAGAGCATCTACCAGCTGGGCTTCCCAAATACTGTGAAGAGAATTGATGCTGCGTTTAGCGATGAAGAATCTGGGAAGACATATTTCTTTGTAAATGACAAGTATTGGAGGTATGGCTTGACTATTCTGAAGTTCCAAATGAGGGATGGAACAGTCTATTTTCAGTCTGGTCGATTTTGCCAGCATTTATTCATAAGTCTGTCCTGTCCCATTTCCACATCTATCTGTGATTTTTTTAAAAAAATGCATAGATACAAAAAATACATTCAACTGCAAGCTAAAATATGTATTTTATCGCAAAATGCCTATTAAATGCAAATTTAAATAAGTATTTGATAATAACACACATATTTATATATGGATTTAAAACAAATTGTAGGAATGGGAATTGCAGTGTACACTTTTCTAACCCCATTTTGTCCTAAAACATGCATTTTTATGCATTTTCATACATTTTTTGAGCTGAAACTATTGAAAAATTTGGAGAAGCGTGAAATATGAAGGATAACAATATTCAGATCTGTATATCTGTCCAGGATGTACAAATTAGGTTGGGGACTGCTTAAAAATACAAACGGAAAACTCTCTTTTCCTAATGCCTCACTCTTAAAGTGTGGCCACTATATATTAATTTACTTGCATTTATATTTTTTCTTGCTTTCATTGAGGAAACCCAAGGTTGCAGGTTTGATCTGTGAGAACATATCCTAGTAGTCAGGAGGAACCAACAGAGGCTGCATACATGTCATATATTTAAAACACATGTAAAACACATGTTGTTTGTTGTTTAGTAGTTTAGTCGTGTCTGACTCTTCATGACCCCATGGACCAGAGCATGCCAGGCACTCCTATCTTCCACTGCCTCCTGCAGTTTGATCAAACTCATGTTTGTGGCTTTCAGAACACTGTCCAACCATCTCATCCTCTGTCATCCCCTTCTCCTTGTGCCCTCAATCTTTCCCAACATCAGGGTCTTTTCCAGGGAGTTTTTTCTTCTCATGAGGTGGCCAAAGTATTGGAGCCTCAGCTTCAGGATCTGTCCTTCCAGTGAGCACTCAGGGCTGATTTCCTTAAGAATAGATAGGTTTGATGGTCTTGCAGTCCATGGGACTCTCAAGTCTCCTCCAGCACCATAATTCAAAAGCATCAATTCTTCGGCGATCAGCCTTCTTTATGGTCCAGCTCTCACTTCCATACATACTACTGGGAAAACCATAGCTTTAACTATGCGGACCTTTGTCAGCAAGGTGATGTTTCTGCTTTTTAAGTTGTTGTCTAGGTTTGTCATTGCTTTTCTCCCAAGCAGCAGGCATCTTTTAATTTTGTGACTGCTGTCACCATCTGCAGTGATCATGGAACCCAAGACAGTAAAATCTCTCACTGCCTTCATTTCTTCCCCTTCTATTTGCCAGGAGGTGATGGGCCCAGTGGCCATGATCTTAGTTTTTTTGATGTTGAGCTTCAGACCATATATTGCTCTCTCCTCTTTCACCTTCATTAAAAGGTTCTTTAATTCCTCCTCACTTTCTGCCATCAAGGTTGTGTCATCTGCATATCCGAGGTTGTTGATATTTCTTCTAGCAATCTTAATTCTGCTTTGGGATTCATCCAGTCCAGCCTTTCACATGATGAATTCTGCATATAAGTTAAATAAGCAGGGAGACAATATACAGCCTTGTCGTACTCCTTTCCCAATTTTGAACCAATCAGTTGTTCCATATCCAGTTCTAACTATAGCTTCTTGTCCCACATAGAGATTTCTCAGGAGACAGATGAGGTGATCAGGCACTCCCATTTCTTTAAGAACTTGCCATAGTTTGCTGTGGTCAACACAGTCAAATGCTTTTGTGTAGTCAATGAAACAAAAGTAGATGTTTTTCTGGAACTCTCTAGCTTTCTCCATAATCCAGCGCATGTTTGCAATTTGGTCTCTGGTTCCTCTGCCCCTTCGAAATCCAGCTTGCACTTATGGGAGTTCTCGGTCCACATACTGCTTAAGCCTGCCTTGTAGAATTTTAAGCATAACCTTGCTAGTGTGTGAAATGAGTGCAATTGTGCGGTAGTTGGAGCATTCTTTGGCACTGCCCTTCTTTGGGATTGGGATATAGACTGATCTTCTCCAATCCTCTGGCCACTGCTGAAGTTGATTCCCCCAAAGAATCCCAGGAACTATAGTTTGCTAAGGGTGCTGGGAATCATAGCCCATTTTCATAGTCACGATGTTTTCCAATACATTATTTTCGTATGTTGTCCCATTTTTTTATGGTTCTTTCCGTCAATCCAGTTGATGGCCTTGTTTATAGAAATGAGAAATTTCATTAGCTTCATATTTCCGTGAATTGTGAATAAAACCTATGCTAAAGGTTGTTTTAGCTTCAAGTAACAATGCTTGTCTTTGATCAGGTATGATGAAATTAAACAAACCATGGAAACAGGTTACCCAAGGCTGATAGCCCAAGATTTCAAAGGAGTTGGCAAAAAGATTGATGCTGCTATACAGCAAAATGGTAAGTAAAGGAATTAATTGGTGCCTTTTTTTAATTGTAGAAATAAAATTCACCTGGAACTCAGCATGGCTTAAAGAATAGTCTAGGATCTCATATATTGTGTTATTAAAATGTATTAATTGCTGTGTTGTTTTAATGGATTTGTTTTGATGCATATTTTAAAGTTGGTTGAGCTTTTTTGGGTAAAATCACTGCCGACGTCCAGATTTTCCCGGACATTTTTAGTGATTTCTACTTTGGCAACCTCATACTTACTCAGCTGCCGATTCAGGCATTAAGCACTACATTAATTTAATAACAGCAGGAACCATTGTAGACATACCCTAAGACTGGACTTTCTCCAATTTTACAATTTTGCCTGAACTTCAATACAGTCATGAAATCATAACTTTCTTTTTTTTCTTTCCTTTGCAAGCACAGCTCACTTCTTCTGAAAGAGATTTGTTATCCCGCTTTTTCATTTATCCCTATCTCTTTTCTCCTTTTTTAGGGTACATCTATTTCTTCCGGGGAAGACGGGTGACTCAGTTTGATCCTCGGAGTAAAAGCGTTGTTCCGCCCATTCGAAAGAGCAACAGCTGGCTGAACTGTTAAAACACTTAACGAGTGCTTTCTAATTAATAATTAGCACTCCTGTTGTGCCTAACCTTAATTTATAAACAGCAATTCCTCCTTTATCTACTGTCAACTGATGAATCAACAATGGCACGTGGAATTATCTTCTCACCCAAACGTACAGAAATTTTGGCTGAGGAAAACGTGCCCTAAATGTGCTTATGCAATCCACTGTGTTGTAACAGATTTGACTCTGCTTCTTCTATAAAAGACTTGTTATGAGGAACATCACTGTGTGTGTTTCCTTTGTGATTTTCTGAACCGAACACCACATATAGATTCACAACCAACCTACTAAAACCAGTGCTAAGTCTCTGAAGTCAGAGAGGAAGAAGTTCACCCTTTTGTAACTCTTTGGCCTGATTCACACATTTATGTGCCTCACTGGATTGGTCACCACTTGATCATCACTGGATAACTCAATATGGAATTGCCATCTGTAGTGTTATCTCTTTGATGGCTCATTCACTGGTGAAATAACAACAACAACAACAATTTATACCCCACCCATCTGGCTGGGTTTCCCCAGCCACTCTGGGTGGCTTCCAACAGAATATTAAAATACAATAGTCTATTAAACATTAAAAGCTTCCCTAAACAGGGCTGCCTTCAGATGTCTTCTAAAAGTATGGTAGTTGTTTTTCTCTTTGACATCTGGTGGGAAGGCGTTCCACAGGGCGGGTGCCACTACCGAGAAGGCCCTCTGCCTGCTTCCCTGTAACTTGGCTTCTCGCAGTGAGGGAACTGCCAGAAGGCCCTCGGCACTGGACCTCAGCATCTGGGCAGAATGATGGGGGTGGAGACGCTCCTTCAGGCATACTGGACCAAGGCTGTTTAGTGCTTTAAAGGTCAGCACCAACACTTTGAATTGTGCTTGGAAACGTACTGGGAGCCAGTGTAGGTCTTTCAAGACCGGTGTTATGTGGTCATAAGGATGGGGGATAAATTCAATTCAGTTCACATTTAAAGAGGAACCTACCTAATTTGCACTTTGTGAAACTCACAGTTCACTGGATTTTGCAACACAGTTCTCCAACCAAGTAATGTGTACAAAAATGCATACACTGGGGTAAAGTGTGCAAAAAAAGAATTCGCATACAGGTGGAAATGTGCATGTTTGTCCAAACTGCATACGAAAACATGCTTATTAGGAGAAATTTGTGCGACTGCAGGATACATCAGGCTTCTCCACAACTGAGCAAAATGTGGATTCACACCTGCCTGTCTCCCCATTGATGCAGAAGTCTCCATATGACTTTCTCTTCATCCCATTGTTTCCTCCTTTAAATGTGGGGTTTCTCCATTCTTGCAGAGTCCAGAATCCAGAGTTGCAGAATCAAAAACCTACATATAAAGGAGGAGAAATCTGGGACAGCAATGGAGTGAGACCCACATTTTTCTGCAGTTTGATCAAGGCCATCTCCTTCTTGAAGCCTTTCTCCTTAAGCCCTACAGTTTGAGGACACCCTGTGAATATTTGCTGGTGAGGGAGACTCCCCGTGCAACTGCCCTGCTGTTTTTTTTGTTCTATGTCAGGCATGTCGATTCAATCCAGCCCCCATGGCAGTATATGTCCTGGGGTAAAGAAAACTCAACAACTTTGGGGTTAAATCCTTTAAAAAGTTCAACAACCTCGGAGTAAACTTCAATCCTAAAAAAAGCTCAACTTTGGGGTAAAATGGTAAAAAAAAGTTCGACAACTTCAATCCTAAACTTCAGTCCTAAAAAAATCTGGCCCTCTTTGAGAAAAAGTTTGGGCTGAAGAGCACTATGTGATCTTCAGGGTTGATTGCTCATACTGAAAAAGACAGCATGGTTAACTGGCACAAATTAATACATGGTCATCCCCACACACATAGTTTTCTTCTGCAGGGGCCTTCATGAATTGTGGGCTGAACTCTCCCTATTATCAAAGTAGTATTTAATATACCCATTTTCCACAGACCCAGAGGCCCTGGGAGAAGGGAGATGAACCAGTCATACAACACTCCCCAGTTTAGCTGCTCTATCTCACTGGGCGGCCAAAAGGAGCAATGGGGTACAAAGGACTGGTTTCCCCAAAGCGCACCATGGTTGTGTATGGTGCATGCCATTCAACCCGGGACAGCACTTAGTAATCCCAGGCAGCACACATTGAGCCATATGTGTGTGTGTGTTCAGATCCTGATAACTCTTTTTTAAAAAATTACCCGCCAAATCAATATATATATATATATATATAGATAGATATAGATATAGATATATATAGATATATATAGATATATACAAATCAATATATATATACTATAACAAACAACAACATCGTTTTGAAGTTCAGGGTAGAGGGACAAACATTTGACAGGGGAAAGCCGGAATATGTATTCACCTCTCAGGAATGGGGTATATTTCAAAAAGTGAAAATCTCCTCCCAAAATGAAGCTTTTAAGCTATTTGCAATGGAAATTTGCCCCCAAAAATCAACGCTTCCAATATGGTCTGCCATACACCCAGGTTTTCTGCACATTTAAACCGATTTCCGAAAATTCCACCCGAACGCCATTTTTGGTGGATGAATCCCAGCTATGTCCGGGAGATTCCGATTGTATGGCAGCCCTAGAATAGGGCGGATCCAATTCAGATCTAGCAAAGCTCCCTTCGTACATAACCAGATTCAAATTGAGGTTCTCACTCTGCTTCCACCGTCTCAGGGCGGGGTGTGTGTTAAAAATTATTAGCTTAAAGAGGAAGGTAAGAGGTGACAGAGTGCTCTCACCCTGTCTGGAGAAGAGGAGGAGGAGGAGGAGGAGGAGGAGGAGGAGGAGGAGGAGGAGGAGTTTGGATTTGATATCCCGCTTTATCACTACCCAAAGGAGTCTCAAAGTGGCTAACATTCTCCTTTCCCTTCCTCCCCCACAACAAACACTCTGTGAGGTGAGTGAGGCTGAGAGACCTCAGAGAAGTATGACTAGCCCAAGGTCACTCAGCAGCTGCATGTGGAGGAGCGGGGAAGCAAACCCGGTTCACCAGATTACGAGTCCACCGCTCTTAGCTACTATACCACAGTGGCTCTCCTGAGGGATCTTTTCTCAGCTGCAGATAACAAGCAGAACATAATTTGTAGCTGGATTGCATTGGAAAGGAAAGGCGGAAAGGAGAAGAGGAAACCGTGGGCAAATCATGAATTTCAGGTGTTCCAACTGAGCACTAAAAATTCACCCACACCCACAAAGGATTTCATATGTTTGACCAAACAGCCCAGGGTGGGGGGGGAATGAAGACATTGCTCAGTTCCAGTCCAGCAATTCTTAAAATAATGGAAATGTGGGGCATAGGAGATGCTTACAGGGGACCATTTGAAGGTGGGCAAGGGAGGCCTCACATCTCCTATATCCACTAGATCTACTTTGCAAATGCTCTTCCAGGACCCTGATCTCCCAGTTAGGTTCATTTCCAGGCAGATTTGGAGACTGACTCAGCTTCTTAGAAAAGAACCTGCGGGCAGAGGGAGAGAATCAGAAGGAAGAACAGTGCGGAAGGGAATTTGGTAACGCAAATTGTGTCTTTCTGCATTTCAGTAGGAAGGCGATGTCACAACACGAAGCACTGATGTGTAATCTTATCTCGTTTACAAGCAGCAATTATGACATCGCTCCATGTCAGTAGTTTACATTCTTTCCAGTTTCCACTGTGGGATAAACATCAGTATGGAGTGCACACCTCCTCTTGAGGCTATGTGTTTTTCAACATGTGTCTGGCATGCCTCTTTGGTGACCTGAAACTAATGAAAAATTGCAAGAGCCTACCTTGAGAAGGGAAAAGTAGAGGAGGAGTCTTCATGGAAGAGAAAGCTATCAATCGCTACAAGTCATGGTGGCTATGCTCTGCCTCTGTGGCTGGAGGCAGTAATGCTTCTCAGCACCAGTTGCAAGGGAACACAGTGCTGTTGTGCTCATTTTCTGCAACAAGCATCTGGTTGGCCGTTGTGAGAACAGGATGCTAGACTAGATGGACCATGGGCCTGATCTGGCAGGTTCTCCTTATGCTCTTATGCAAGAACCAGTGGAGAATGAAAGGTTGGCCAGGGTCAAGCCCAGAAACCCTAACAAAATATGATGTCACTGTAGCAAGAGCTAGGGGGAACAAGGGCTGCCATAGGATTAGGGAACACACACATATATTTCAGAGCACTTTTAGTCTGAAAATGTTCATGGGCAAACACAATGTTCTTATGCACTTAAAGGCCGGTATAATATGATATAATAAGACGTACATTTTGTAATGTTCTAGAGGGGCCTTTCCAACAAGAGGTCTGCAGGGTGGCAACATGGGAACGGGCATTTTAAGCTGTGGCTTTCCATTTGTGGAATGCTCTCCCTGAGGAAGCTCGCTTGGCGCCTTCATTACATATCTTTAGGCATCAGGCAAAAACGTTTCTCTTCAACCAGCCATTGGGCTGATTAAAATTCTACGGCACTTTAAATGTGTCTCTGGGAGGGGAGTTATTGCTTTGTTTTGTTTTGTTACGTATTGTGTGTTTTCATTTTGCATTTTTATGTTGTCAACAGCCCTGTGGTCTTCGGACGAAGGCCGGTATACAAATTTAATAAATAAAACAAAACAAAAGTCACACCAAAGTGACTTTCTCATTGCACCGTCTTGATTCAAAATGGCACTGGGAATCCAAAGGGTGAGGAAGTCTGCCACCCCAACCTCAGGACACCTTGTGCTGAGTTTGGCAATGATATCTCAAGAGATGTCCAAAGCTATGGAGAACAAATGGAGAAACCAGTTCCCAAAATACGTTACTGCATATAAACAGCAAGTCACATTCTGCTGATAAATTTGTGTTCTACTCCACGGGAACAGGATGGTGGTGAAGCAAGAAGCTTAAAACAGAGCACAGATGTTGCCTCACGGTGATGAAAGTTGCAGCAAGGGAATTTAGTAACAGGCAATTTTGCAGACAATGGTGAACCTCCTCATCCTTTGGAGGTTCTGAGAATCTCCTCCTAGTACCTATAGGAGGCAGGGATGGGGAACGTATGGCCCACTAGAAGTTGTTGGATTACACCTCCCATCAGCCCCAGTCGGCATTGCAAATGGTCTGGTCTGATGGGAGTTGTAGTCTAACATCAAGTGGTAGGTCTTCTGCATGGGGAAGATGGAGAAATGCCATTGGGTGACAGAAAAGGCGGGACTACTCAACAGCTACTTTGCCTTTGTCTTCACCCAAAAGAAAAGTGATGTCCAACCTGGTGATAACAGAATAAATGATGTAAGGAGGGAGCTGCAGCCCAAGATAGGAAAAGAGGTAGTAAGGGAACACCTAGCTACTTTCAATGAATTCAGATTTTCGAACCGATGGGTTCAAGTTGCAAGAATGCAAATTCCAACTAAAAATTCGGATAAACTTTCTGACAATCAGAGCTATTTAACAGTGGAACGATCTCCCTTGGGAAGGTGGTGGACTCTCCTTCCTTGGAGTTTTTGAAGCAGAGGTTGGACAGCCATCTGTCATGGGTGCTTGAGTTGAGATTCCTGCATTGCAGGGGGTTGGACTAGATGACCCTTGGGGTCCCTTCCAACTCTGAAATTCTATGATCATTTGGAGAGCCTCAGGTTCCCCATTCCTGATGTACAGGAACAGACAACCTCCTGCTGACAACAACTTGTTATGGAATATATGAGTTTTGAAACATGTTTTGCAAACTTACTCAACAGAGGAAATGTCAGCAATGTGTGGTTGATGGAGGATTTCCAGAAGATTAGTACCAGCTCCTGGAGTGGGAGGTGAGCTGGACAAATGTCTTCTCCTCCAAGGGGCACACTGGGGACACCTAGTTAGCTTCTGTGGGATTAGATGGATTTCTGGTCTAATCCAACATGTCTCCTATGTAAAATTAGCTACCTTTGTCATATTCCTTCCCTCCCTCTTTTGGTCTCAGACCACATACAGCCTGGGTGTGGAACAGCAGTCAGGGACCTTTTTCTTATGGTGCACAGGGATATTCTCAGGCGATAATCCTTTAAAGGACAAATAATAATAATAATAATAATAATAATAATAATAATAATAATTTATTATTTACACCCCGCCCATCTGGCTGGGTTTCCCCAGCCACTCTGGGCGGCTTCCAAAAAAACACTAAAATACAATAACCTATTAAACATTAAAAGCTTCCCTAAACAGGGCTGCCTTCAGATGTCTTCTAAACGTTTGGTAGTTATTTTTCTCTTTGACATCTGGTGGGAGGGCGTTCCACAGGGCGGGTGCCACTACCGAGAAGGCCCTCTGCCTGCTTCCCTGTTACTTGGCTTCTCACAGCGAGGGAACTGCCAGAAGGCCCTCGGCACTGGACCTCAGTGTCCGGGCAGAACGATGGAGGTAGAGACGCTCCTTCAGGTATACTGGACCAAGGCCGTTTAGGGCTTTAAAGGTCAGCACCAACACTTTGAATTGTGTTCGGAAACGTACTGGGAGCCAGTGTAGGTCTTTCAAGACTGGTGTTATGTGGTCTCGGCGGCTGCTCCCAGTCCCCAGTCTAGCTGCCGCATTCTGAATTAGTTGTAGTTTCCGGGTCACCTTCAAAGGTAGCCCCACACAGAGCGCATTGCAGTAGTCCAAGCAAGAGATAACCAGAGCATGCACCACTCTGGTGAGACAGTCCGCGGGCAGATAAGGTCTCAGCCTGCGTACCAGATGGAGCTGATAAACAGCTGCCCTGGACACAGAATTGACCTGCACCTCCATGGACAGCTGTGAGTCCAAAATGACTCCCAGGCTGCGCACCTGGTCCTTCAGGGGCACAGTTACCCCATTCAGGACCAGGGAGTGCTTCACACCCACCCGCTCCCTGTCCCCCAAAAACAGTACTTCTGTCTTGTCAGGATTCAACCTCAATCTGTTAGCCGCCATCCATCCGCCATCCAACTGCCTCCAGACACATGCTCACAGTGGATATGGTGCACGCCTCCTCTCTCTCTCTCTCTCTCTCTCTCTCTCTATCTATCTATCTATCTCTATCTCTTCTACCAGTCCCTTCCAACTGTTTTCCCTTTCCTTGCCACCTATAGGAAATTAAGCTGAACTGGGGCCCCAGGTTGACCACCTCTGGTGAACAGGATACATGGTAGGGCACAGGAACAAGCAATGGGTGAGGAAAAGCTGGGATGAAGACTCATTCTTGGGTGCTATGCTATTTTGTATTGGCTGGCCTTCAATACAAGGTGCAGGTTTTCGTGTGTGTGTGAGAGAGAGAACATTGTTTCAGTAGTGAGTCTGCAGCAGAAATTCACCTTATTTTAGACACACATACTATCGTCTTCCCCGTATCAGCTTCACCAGAAACCTGTTTTTTCCTGGTTTGCTTCAGAAGACATTTGTGCAGAGCTCTGATTGGCCGGCCAGTATGTCAATCATGAAACCACTTAACATTCTCACAGCGAGTCTGTATGCAATGCTGATTGTCTGACCTTTGTATCAATCATGAGATCTGTACTCAAAGTAGCTCTTCAAGTGGGGGAAAAACATTTGCATTTATGGCAATGTCTAGCTTCAGGACAAAGAGGCTTACTTCATTGGTCGTTCTGTGGTTTTATTTTATGACTTTGATTTAAATTGGTCTTGTTTTAATTGTGACATTGGGGGTGGGCATTTAACGATGATGATGTAGGAACAGGAGGAGGAGAAAGTATGCTTAGATTGCTTATGGTTTAAAACAGCCACTCAAGAGTTGCAAAAACATTTCCTGTTTTACATCTTTATCCCAAGCATACCTTCTTGTTAGCAAGTGTCACAAAAGTTGGACGCAGTTCTTTCCTTGCAAATATGCTTGCCAATATGGTGTCAGGCTGCTAAAGAAGCTCATCAGCATGTCGGTTGTTTTGTGTGTGTGTGTGTTGGGGGTTTTTTTGGGGGGCGGTTGCAGAACATCATTTATTAGCTGCAACAAAGGGTTACAAAATCAGGCTTTTTGAGTTTACTTGCATTGTGACACCCTCTAGTGAGCCTTATGTTTTCTGTTGCTAATCAGAGCATGATAAACTGTGAGTCAGTCCACAGCTGGCTTTAGGAAACCTAAAGCAGAAAGGAGCCTGAAAGTCAGAATTACTGCAAGAGCAGAACATACCATCGACCCTTCTCACAAAGCAAGACCACCCAGCTTTAAGATGACGAGTCTCCTGCTTGTCCTACTGTCGGTCACATTTTCGTACGGATTGCCCATTTTTTCAGGGAAGCAAAGTGAAGAACAAAAAAGACAGCTTGCACAGGTAACAAACGTGATCAGCCCCTGAGAAACTTGGAGGTCATGGCTAGTGCATGCCTTTCCGATTCTAATTCCAGGGCCCTTCCTGCAGAGGCAAGGCTTGAGCCTAAGGATACTTCTGGCAGGTCTTTTGGGGCAGGGGCTAAGACTTGTGTGGCTGATCAGGAACGGCAGTTCTTCTTAGGTAGCGTAGTGTCTAAGAAACGGAGCTGCGAATAAGGAGGTCGCTGCTTCAAACCTCACCTTTGTGATGAAGGTGGTCTGTAGCAAGCCACTATCACCCAATCTCACTCCCTACATCTGCAATACGACAATTATACTGGATTAATTTGTTGCAGAGTTGTTGTAAGAGATTGTACTGGAAGCACTGTGAGTCCTTGAAAGTGCTCAGCATTGTAATCTGTTGATGTTGATTTGAAGAAATTATTGAAGGACTTTCTTTACTTGCTCCTAAGTGCTGAAAGGTGATGCGTGGGCTGGTTCAAATGTCACCTGAGCCTCTTTAGCTAAATCTCTTAAGATAATATAATTAGAAATACTTGCGAGCACCAAATAGGCCTAGGGTTTGAAAATATGATGTGTAAAATATTGTGTTAAAGTTAAAAATGAAAAGAAAGTAAGATGTTAATTGACCAAGTAAATTTTATGGGGAAATAGTTTTGGAAAACTGTTACAATGATTTATACGGAAACTCAGCCAGGGGGATTCGAGGAAGTCACCTAACAATGTTAATAAAAGTGGAATTATTATAATCAGGATAAATGTTTGTTGGTTTGTTTGTTTTATTTTCTTTTTCCTATCCATTTGTTATAAATTTGGAAAATTAATAAAAAAAATTGGGGAAAAAACAACAAATGTCACCTGAGCCTCGTGATCTTGGTAGATCATGGAATCATTGAGTTGAAAGGGACCACAAGGGTCAACTAATCCAACCTCCTGCAATGAAGGAATTTTTCACGCGACGTGGGGTTCAAACCCGCAACCCTGATATTAAGAGTCTCATGCTCTACCAACTCAGCTATCCAGCCGACGATCAGTCCACTGTAATCTCCATCCTTCTTTTGCGCTAGATGATCATCTATACTACAACCACTTCTAAGTAGAGCCATTATTTTCACCCCCTCTCCTTTCCTTGTTCTTTCCCTTCTTTGTGGTTTTTGTTTGGGGACGATGAGGGCTAGATTCAACTTGAAGTGTCTGTGAATGTGAGTTGGAGTTATTATTTTGGTGCACATGTAAGTTCTTTGAACACCGTTCAAAAAATCAGTCTCACTTTCCTGATCACTACTGTGCTTTACTTTTGTTCTCCGTATTTCAGATTTTCTCAATGTTGCGCCTAGATTAAATGATTGGGGGGGGGGTAGGAATGCCTAAATAAAATGCAACTGGGGGGGTGGTTATTCTTGGCCTCAGGACCCTTTCTGGTATTATTGCTTACCCTGAGACTTTGGAGATAGGAAAGGTTAAAAATGAAATAGTTACTGTATATTAAATCCCCCTTTTTGGCAATCCTGCTCACTCACCTGCAAAGAATTCCTAGTCACCTATAGCGACCAGGCAGGTGATTGAATAAATGACTGATGTGAGCCATTAATCACTTTGCTGGTGTCTTCTGTCACCCACCCTCTGTGATCATGGAAAGACAGACTCCTCACCGTTTAGGCTATAACCATTTTTTGTACCCATTTGCAAGGCTGGTATAATAGACCAAAAACCAAACTTTTTTACATGATTTTTATTGTAGAGTTTTATGTACCATTGCTGTAAACCACTTTGATTTTTTTTAAAAAATAAATGAAATGAAATATATAAATATGTTTATAAATAATAAATGGATCCTAAACAGCCATGTGGTCATTGTTGGTTTTATGCTGTATTTTTTCTTAACATTAGCAGTACAGAAATTTTTTCCAGTTAAATAAATGATATGCACTCATGGTTCTTAATAATAATAATAATAATAATAATAATAATAATACTGTAAAATCAGCAGAGGTGATCAAATAATAACTGGAGAGGATTTCATTTATTTATTTAATATTCCTAAGAAATTGTTATTTGTTCCCTGGAAAATGCAAAACTCTTCATATTCTAAAGCAGAAATCACAACAGGTGGTGGTGGTTGTTTTTAGAAGGCCTCTTCCCAATCCTGTAGCAAATTTACTATTATCTCTTTTTATCAGGAATATCTAAATCAGTTTTATGAGCAGGAAAATGAACCACAACAACGAGGCTGGAAAAGCAATAAATCTTCCTTTGTGGAGAAAATCCAACAAATGCAAGAATTTTTTGGACTGAACGTAACTGGAATGATAGACACTGACACCATGAAAGTGATGGAGCAACCCAGATGTGGCGTACCTGATATTGGACAGTACGTCCTGGCCCTTCCTGGGTGGGAGAAAACCAAGCTTACGTACAGGTAACAAACAATTTTGGGTGGCAGTTAGGATGAATCATGGGAGGTGTGGGAGATTCCTTATTCCGAATGGTAACACGCACATCTAGGATGGATCAAGACCAGGCATCCCCAAACTTGGCCCTCCAACTGTTTTGGGACTACAACTCACATCATCCCTAGATAACAGGACCAGTGGGCAGGGATGATGGGAATTGTAGTCCCAAAATATCCGGAGGGCCGAGTTTGGGCGTGCCTGATCTAGACACATCAAAAAAACGTGATTCAGTTAAACACGTTGTAAACTTCATACAGGGAAATCCCATTGGTGAAAGACGGGACTCCACAGCGCCATCTGGTGTCATGGTGTTATAATACATATAAAGGGCTTTATCTTACGAATGTAGCTGAGCCCAGAGTAAAGAGCAATAGCCAAAGGAATATGGGGAGTTGATTTATACTGAGTCAGACCATCAACCCATCTAGTTCAAAATCATCCACACTGGCTGGCAGTGGCTTTCCTGGTTTCCAGGGCCACATCTACACTTGTGGTTTAGAACGTTAAAAATGTGTTATTAAAATGGGACACCAGAGGGTGCTGCAGAGCAGCGAGCCACTGGCAAAGGGAAACTGCATTAAACGTTATAAGAATGTTATGTCTACAGTCCTATATGGAGATGTTGGGGATTGAACCTGTGAATTTTGTATGCAAGGCAAATGCTCTACCACTGAGCCACAGCCGTTACCCGGCCTGTGTATTTAAGATGCCCTTCAGTGCCCTACTTAAACTGCTTTGGAACGGTTTTTAGACAACTTGTCCTTAGACTTGCTTTCCATGACCATTGCTTCCATAGTGGAATCAACCCAGGAGAAGGGCTCAGTTTCAGTGGATTTTGACATGCTAACCTGGTCTTGTGAATACACCTGCATAGACTAATTAACTACCTGTCCCTATGCATGTTCCTTCTGCTGAATTCAATGAGTTTTACTCTCCAGTAAGTGTGTTTACGAAGCAGGGCTGGCCCAAGACATTTTGGTATCTGAGACAAACTACAAAAGGGCTCCCCTTCCTCCCCACCAGGGAAGAAGGGGTGAGTGGAGATCCACACTGGCAACAAGGATGGAACAAAGAGCCAGTGTGGTGTAGTGGTTAAGAGTGATAGACTCGTAATCTGGGGAACCGGGTTCGTGTCTCTGCTCTTCTACATGCAGCTGCTGGGTGACCGTGGGTCAGTCACACTTCTTTGAAGTCTCTCAGCCCCACTCACCTCACAGAGTGTTTGTTGTGAGGGAGGAAGGGAAAGCAGAACGTTAGCTGCTTTGAGACTCCTTCAGGTAGTGATAAAGCGGGATATCAAATCCAAACTCTTCTCTTCTTCTTCTATATTGAGATCTGCTGCCCTGTGGTTGCCTGACTCTGCCTCCTGGTGGGCCAGCCCTGTTACAAAGCTAAAATCCTAAGCACACAACTGCTTGGGTAGCCTAGGGCTTGCTGATTGGAAGGTCGGAGGTTCAAATCCCCGCGTCCGGGTGAGCTCCCATTGCTCGGTCCCAGCTCCTGCCAACCTAGCAGTTCAAAAGCACGTCAAAGTGCAAGTAGATAAATAGGTACCACTCCGGTGGGAAGGTAAATGGCGTTTCCATGCGCTGCTCTGGTTTTGCCAGTAGCGGCTTAGTCATGCTGGCCACATGACTCAGAAAAACTGTCTGCGGACAAACGTCGGCTCCCTCGGCCAGTAAAGCAAGATGAGCGCCGCAACCCCAGAGTTGTTCGGAACTGGACTTAACTGTCAGGGATCCTTTACCTTTTTTAAAAAAAAATGCGTAAGATTGATTAGTAAGACTGCAATAATTAAACACATTTACTTGCGTATGTGGACTTTCATCTGATTAAAAATGCATAGGAACAGACGGTTAATCCTGCTGGCTGCATCAGGACGTAGTCAACAGAAAGCTGGAACATGTACAAAACCAGTTAATTGCAACAAAATGTTGGGGGGGTGATAGAGATCAGCTTAAATTCATCACATTCGATTCAACAACAACAACAACAACAACAACAACAACAACAACAAGTCATGTGAATTGGGCCCATATTCTGGAACTGATCAAAAGTGAAATCTGGCAGAAATCAAAAGCTGCTTGGCAACTTCTCCAGCCTATCTCTGAACTTAAGTAAAATCTTCAGTTCTTAAAAGCTCATTGTGGATTGTGACAGCAACGATAAAGATGAGGGTGAAACCATTTCTTGCATTTTACTCCTTTAGGATTGTGAATTACACCCCTGATATGAAACAAGCTGATGTGGACACATCTATCCAAAAGGCATTTGAAATTTGGAGTGCAGTGACTCCTCTGACTTTCAGCAGGATTTACAAAGAGACAGCAGACTTCTATATTGTGTTTGTAACTGGAGGTAGTATATGAGATTCGTTGAACTCTTTCCATAGCTATAGCAGTACATGAATAATGACTCCTCCCTATGCTTTCGATCAGCACATGGCAACTGTCCTCGGCGTTTTGACGGTCCTCTGGGAGTCCTCGGTCATGCATTCCCCCCCAGTGACCCCTTCCGTGGAAATGTCCACTTGGATGACGATGAAAATTGGACTGCCAGCTTAGTCCGTAAGTTGAACAAGGGTCCCTTGCAGAAATGATGGCTCCACGTAGGGTTGATTGGGGTGAGGTGGGGAACCTCAGGTCTAGAGGCCCAGTGTAGCCTTCCATGCCTCTCTGCCTGTACCACAGGGGTCTTTCTTCAATCCTTGAGAGAAAACATAAAGTGAAACTTAAATGAGAAAAATGGAAATTTTGTTGGGCAGCCAAGCACACCCTTCGAATAGGAACCTTTAGAATTTTCATTCCCTCCTTAGTTCAGGTTAAAGGTTATAAAAGGTAAAGTTAAAGGGACCCCTGACCATTAGGTCCAGTTGTGGCCGACTCTGGGATTGCGGCTCTCATCTCGCTTTATTGGCCAAGGGAGCCGGCGTACAGCTTCCGGGTCATGTGGCCAGTATGACAAAGCCGCTTCTGGTGAACCAGAGCAGTGCATGGAAAAGCCGTTTACCTTCCCGCCAGAGCAGTACCTATTTATCTGCTTGCACTTTGAGGTGCTTTCGAACTGCTAGGTTGGCAGGAGCAGGGACTGAGCAACGGGAGCTCACCCCGTTGCAGGGATTTGAACTGCCGACCTTCTGATCGGCAAGCCCTAGGCTCTGTGGTTTAACCCACAGTGCCACCCACGTCCCTGTTAAAGGTTATACTGGAATGCAAATCCATAGCAAGTTATGGTATGCATTATAAATACATTTAAAATATTTACTATTTTCTCCATCTTCATCCAAGTAATCGTGGACACACTTACTTGAGAGTAAGACCCATGAAATTCAGCGGGAGTCAGAACACACGTCAGGCTGCACATGTAACTTGTCTTTGCACACTTGTTTTGTCATTTAGAATTCAACCTGATGCTTGTTGCTACTCATGAGATTGGCCACGCCCTCGGCCTTGCACATTCTGGCGACCCAAGAGCACTGATGTTCCCCAATTACAAACTCATGGAGCCCATCGATTTCCCACTCACCCAAGATGATATTGATGGCATTCAGGCCATCTATGGTAAGACAAGAGAAGATGTCCGAAACACGTGCAAAACAAGAGCAAAAAATCAACATCTCTAAAGTTAGAATGTATGCTTAGAATCCTAAGTTGTGTGTACAAATGTGTTTTCTCCAGTGAGTTGAAAAGGACAGTCGTGTGTGTGTGTGTGTATTTGTATGTATGTGCTTGTGTGTTGGTGTACACACAAACACACAAACTTCCACTCAGGCCCATGCAGAGGGGAGGACAGATGGGTACACTTGCCCAGGTCTTGGAAGAAGAAGAAGAGTTTGGACTTGATATCCCACTTTATCACTACCCAAAGGAGTCTCAAAGTAGCTAACATTCTCCTTTCCCTTCCTCCCCCACAACAAACACTCTGTGAGGTGAGTGAGGCTGAGAGACTTCAGAGAAGTGTGACTGGCCCAAGGTCACCCAGCAGCTGCATGTGGAGGAGTGGGGATGCGAACCCGGTTCACCAGATTATGGGTCTACCGCTCTTAACCACTACACCACGCTGGCTCCCTGCTTTAGCTCTTGGAGGGCTAAACAATCCGGGGCACCCTCCCAGGGGCCTGCCGGATTTATGCTGTCATGTCAAGAACAAGACTCCCACCCTGGGCCTCATATAAGCTCTGCGCAGCCTGCTTCCACTATTGGAAGAAAACTTGTGGGTTAAGGTGGATGGCTTCTGCAGTCGCTCTAGTAGCAAGTAGCCTGCTTGAGCCAAATGGTCAGGGGCAGACTCTTTCAAATTTTAGCGGCACCCTGTGCAAGGCCAGAATTAAGTGCCCCTGCCTCCCATTCTTCTCAATTCACTATGCCATGGTTGTGGTGTCCTGTGGCATCCCCTAGGCTCAGAGCCCAGTGTGGCAGAACTGGCCACAATGCCCTAAATCTGCATCTGTAAATGGTGCAATGCCAACTTGCAATGTGAGGCTGAGTCACATGGCCACATGCACACGGTAACTTTACAGCACAGTTCGAACAGTCTCCGTCAGGAGGTTGTGGACTCTCCTTTTGTGGAGATTTTTAAGCAGAGGTTGGATGGTCATCTGTCATGGATGCTTTAGCTGAGATTTCTGTATCACAGGCGGTTGGGCCCTTGGGGTCCCTTCCATCTCTATGGTTCTATGAAGCACATTCTTTCCCTCAGAGAATTCTGGGTGCGGCAGTTTGTTAAGGGTTCCTGGGAATCGCAACTCTCTGAGGTATAAACTACAGCACCCAGAATTCTTTGAGCTAGAAAATGTCCTTTAAAGTATGTGTGTAGCCTATGAATTATTTGAAGAGCAACTGTAATCAACAAATTACGCTAGTAGGACTACAAGAAGTTTTGTAAGGAGAAATATATGAAGTGTTACAAAGTAGAAAAAGCTAGAGATATTGGTTATGAGTTTGAAATGTAATAGGGAAGATAAGAAATGCATACTGAGAGATTAGATTGGAAAATTTCCAGACAGGATTGATGGAAGTCAAAAATTTGAATAAGATGTAAAGTATAATTACGGTTGAAATGATATGTCAATAAAATTATATATATATATATATATATATATATATATATATATATATATAATTAAGTATACGCGTAGCCGCAATCCATCTGAGAGGAGGAGCTGCTGGTGGTCCAGCATGTGAGCTTGAAACACCTTGTGCAAAACCTCAAATTCTGTTGGTCACGATGCTGCAACTGTACAGCCTCCTGCACTTATTTGCCTGCTTGAGAGGTGATAGGATAAGCCCAACTTCAAATCCCCATGACGAAGCTCCCTGGAGAGCCTCGGGCCAGGTACAATCTCTCAGCATAACCTACTTCGCAGGGTTGTTGCACAGATAAAATGAAGAAGGACCACATCTATTACCTTGAACTTTGGGGAGGAGAGGTAAGTATTGTCAGCAAGGGGTTGAAATGCTCCTCCTTATTTTTAGGACCTTCGCGAAATCCACCCAAAAAGCCAGTGAAGCCATCAATCCCTAAGGCTTGTGATCCGAAAATGACGTTTGATGCCGTCACCACGATGCGAAGAGAAATCATTTTCCTACGGGGCAGGTAAGTACAAGCACCATTAGTATCTGTTTAAAAACTGAAGTTTACATTTGCCCCATGGCCTGAATATGCAGACAAGTGTATGGATGGACAGCTGTAGAGATTCTTTTTTTCCAATTTTTTAAATTGATTTTTCACATTTATCACAGAAAGAAAAGATAACACAACGAAACACACAACAAAGAAAAACACACTACAACAAACACAAAAAGAGATAATTTCCTCCAATACCTAATTCTCATTCCATTGTCAGCTGACTTCCTCAAATCCCCTCTAACTGAATTTCCTTATATCTCCAAAATAGCAGTTCTCCAAATTCATATTTCTAATATTTTAACTCCTTTCATTTACTAACCTCTTCTCCTTTATTAATATTCTAATCCTTAAAATTTACTACCACTTATTCTTATTCTACCCCTAAGCCTATTTATTACTTCCAAGAACTTTCTAATTATCTTATATCACAATATTTAGCTAAATAGTCTTTAAATTTATTCCAGTCCTCTTGTATCTCCTCTTCTTTCTGGTCGCGGATTCCTCCAGTCAGGTCGGCCAGCTCCAAAAACTCCATCATCTTCATCTGCCATTCTTCTATTGTTGGTATTTCTTGTGATTTCCAGTTTTTGGCTAATAAAAGTCTTGCCACTGTGGTGGCATGCAAAAACAATCTAACATCTTTTTTGGGTAGTTCCAATCCTATTATTCCAAGTAGAAAGACCTCTGGTTTCTTAATAAATGTATTTTTCAACATTTTTTTTCAACTCATTATAAATCTTTTCCCAGAGGTCTTTCACCTTGGGACACGTCCACCACATATGATAAAAAGTACCTTCTTTTTCTTTACATTTCCAACCTGTAGAGATTCTTCTAATTAATTAAAATCAGCATTATAGAAATGCATGCAATTATGTTGAATGGAGTATGTGCGTATGAAGAAAAAGCACTTATAAATGACTCTCACACACCCGGAAGATGCAACCCAGCAGGAACCTTGTCTGTGAGGGATGAGCTGATAGTCTCACGGCAACTATGTCCCCGAGTGCTTTACTTTTCCTTTTAGGAGTAAGTTGTATCCATTCATTCATAAGAGCTGAGTGGGGACTAGACCTCCTCCTTGCCCTTGATGAGCCCAATCCTATCTTGGTCACACTAGAGCATGGACTTGGGAGAGGAAGCTGACAGCTAATCTTGACAGCTACTTAGCATTCACAGAATGCATTTTTGGTGTCTCAAAGGCTTCATGTGGTAGCTGGACTTGCTGAAATAGTTGATAATTCCATGTCCCCCGCCCAACCTCAAAGGACCGGATTCAAAGCGCTGGCACACATTCTAGAATGGACTGTAGGAAAAGGTGCAATGATGCAACACTCCATTGCTAAGAAGGATCCTTAAAAAGCCAATCTAGGAGCCAGCCAGATGGGCTGCAGAAGCACCAAACATCTGTGTTGTCCTCCTCACTAAGAAATAATAATAATAATAATAATAATAATTATTATTATTATTATTATTATTATTATTTACAGTTGGGTAGGTAGCCGTGTTGGTCTGACAAAGTCAAAATAAAAAATAAAAAAATAGTCCAGTAGCACCTTAGAGACCAACTAAGTTTGTTCTAGGTATAAGCATGCACACAAAAGCTTATAACTAGAACAAACCTGGCTGGTCTCTAAGGTGCTACTGGACTATTTTTTAATTTATTATTTACAAGACAAACACAAAATAATCCTATTCATTTCAGGCACCTCTGGAGAGTGTATCCCAGTCATTCAGAAGTTGATTTTGAATCAATTTCTACCTTTTGGCCTTCTTTACCATCTAACATCCAAGCTGCTTATGAAAATATGAAAGATCAGCTCCTCTTTTTTAAAGGTAAGCCACCCTGAAATTATCCTTATTTGTCTTGTTGAAAGTAGTTTCAGCAACTGACATTCAGAAGCCTCCAAGGTGTTGGCCACTGTTTCCCACAATGGCCAGTCAGATGCCTATGGGAGATCTGCACCAACAGGGTGCAGGGCATGTGGGCAATATCCCTTTCCTTACTTGTGATGCCCATTTGGACACATGCTGCCCTTGAACTTGGGAGTGGTATACAGCCATTGATTGGGAGAACTATTCTGCTCTGGACTGTAGCTGTAGCTAAGCAGCAAAGCATCTGTTTAGTGTGCAGAAGATTCCAGCTTCAACCTCCATCATCTCCAGGTTGAGTTGGGAAAGGATTTTCTGTCAGAATCTCCATTTGGCCAAGCTGATAAAGCTCATCTTCCAGCCGAGTCCTTCAGAATCGCCCTCCGACGAATAATTAACGACCTGAGCCTTTGATAAGGCCTCAGGCACGTTCCCCCATTCAGCAGAGTTTCCAAAGCAGCAGAAGTGATGAGGTTTATGGCTACATGCTATGCTTTATTACTAAGCTAGGCAGAGAGCAAAGAAAATACATCATCTCCCTGTGAGAGCAGAGAGCAACTGAACAAAGGAACAGAGAAATCAGTACGTCACATCCGTCTCCCTTCTCCCGTGAGACTTCCAATAGCCTGGACTGTCTCTGGAATGTAAACAGAGCCTTGTGACTCTAAGCAGCTGCTCAGTGGCAAACAGAAACTAACATTTTCTGCCTAAAACCTAGAGAGTTAGGCCAGTCTCTCTTACTATCACAGTAGCAGGACCAGCTAATCAAGGAGGAAAGCAAGAGGTGGAGGTTTTATTCTCCTATGCCCCCTCCGTCCATCTTATTAGCAATGTGATTGGTAGGATTCTGGGGCAGGGAGTTCTCCTGAGGTCTCCTGCTCTTTTTTGGAGATGACAAGCAGGGACTTTGCTAGGTAGGTCAGAAAAGGACTGTGAGCTTTGCATATGCTCATTTTAATGCATCATTGGCAAATTGAGATGGCAAGTGGCTGAGGTCTCCCTAGTGTGTGCCCAACACTCAATAAATAAAGACCCAGATCCAGCACAAAACATCTGAGGTTGGGAGAGGAAGTACCTAGCTGGCGAGCTGGGAATGGGAAGCTGGGAATCTCCCTACAGGATGGATTTTGATCCAAGCTGGAGCCTTGTAAATCTCAATTTTCATTTTGAGATGGGTTTCCCATCTCCCATGTATGTTCTCCAGGCCATGCTCAGGAGAACTTTGCTTTTTCCTTAGCAGACCAACTGGTGCGTACGACATCCCCAGGAAAAAGAGATAGAATAAGCCTTGCTCTCTAGAAGATGTAAACCTTCTGGAACTGATTTACACTGTTTTGCAGTGAGGATATTGACATCTATGTGAGCTTTGTTAAATGAAACCAGAAACTCTTTCACACGACATTTTCTGCCTGTTTGAACAGATAATCACTTCTGGGTCTTTAGCGGATTACAGATGCAGCCTGGCTACCCACAAACCATTGACCATTTGGGCTTCCCACAACGCATTAAGAAAATTGATGCAGCTGCTTTGGATAAAAATACTGGGAAAACCTATTTCTTCGTTGGTAACAAGTACTGGAGGTAAGATCTCTGGGGAATGTATTTTGCAACAGTGCATGGACAGATGTGGCATTGGGCTATCACAGGGAATGTTCTCCAGAGTCCTAATAGAGGATAGTTCAGAATATATCAGTGATCTCACCATGTTTTCTGTGCTTGTGCTAAGAAGAGTTTTAGGAAAGGGGAGTGGGGGAAAATAGCAGCCAAATCAGAAATGATAAAAACGCTATATCTTTACATACTACATGCCTTTCGTTCAATTTTTTTAGGATGATGTGCTGAACTCACCTTGGTCAGGTTCCCTGCCTGATGTGAACGAACTCATTTTATCAAATTGTCTTCTTCAGATATGATGAAAACAATCGATCCATGGACAAGGGCTACCCGAGAAAAATAAGAGAAGATTTTCCTGCAATTGGCCAGAAGGTTGATGCTGCCTTTCAGCACAATGGTAAGGGGACTTTTCTGCATAACGTAACGTGGGTTCGTGCATAGAATCATGGAGCTGGTTGATAATTTCATTGGGAGAGAGAGACCTCATAGGAGCCTGGGTGCTTCTCTGTAGTGACATTCATGTCATCAGTAAAAAAGCTAATGACACCAGGTTTGCTGATTCAGACAATTTGGTGGCATCAAAGCCTATCAGCCTGGGATGTTTTCAGACACCTTCATGGGATAATTGCATGGCAAACATCACCACGCAGTGGAGAGGAAACCTGATTTGCTAAATGCATCAACCTTCTCCAGCACTGGGAAATTCTGAATACAAACAAAGGCTGGATCTAGATACATCAAAAAAGCATTTCAGGAAAACACATTGTAAACTTTATTATGGGAAATCACATTGGTGGAAGCCAGGACTCCACAGCGCCATCTGGTGTCCCAGTGTTATAATGCATATAAAGCGCTTTTTCTTTACTAATGTAGCTGAGTCCACAGTTACAGCCACAGGAGCAATTTGCAAGGAGTTCAAAATTCTATTTCCTTGCATTTTAAACCCCACCTTTCTTCAGTCATGGTCCCCAAAAGTGTTTTGGAACATTGCCTCTGCTGTCTTGACACCAACCCTCCTTAATATAAATCTGCTATAATAATACAATCTCCGTTTGGTTCTAGGATCCTTCTATTTGTTCCGTGGGTCAAAGCAGTGGCAGTTCGATCTGAATGCGAAAAGAGTGATTTGCGTCATGAACAGCAACAGCTGGTTTAGCTGTTAGCATTTTAAAAATCCGTTTCCTATAAGGGAAGAAAACATTAACATTTCTGCCAGGACATCAAGAGTCGAGTACATCCAGAACTATGCAATCTTGAATTCTGTCTTCAAAACAAAATGCCTTTTTCAACAGTCTGTATTTAATCGCTATACATATAAAACAGTGGCAAGACTTTAACTGCCTTTTTATTACTGCACTAATGTATCTTCCTGAGATGTCCTGTGCAATCCTTTACATATCAGCACAGGAGTAAACCCCATTGATTTCAATGAGACTTCCTTTAAGATCAGTGTGTTTAGGCTTGCAACTTTCATGTGTTTACATTCTGAATGGGCTTGCAATAAAACCAGTTCACTGTTACAGTCTACGTTTAATGTTTTTTGAATAAGAGGAAATCTAAAATACTAAATTCTGAGGGGGGGGTTAAAAAAATGAAAAGCGATTTTCGAAACTGCTCTGACATATTACACAACTTTTCAGATAAAGCACAGAATCCTTGCATTGCATAATGAGAAATGCAACTGTTCAAAGGGAAGAAAGGAAAGGTTATAGGAAATTAGAGGTTGGGGCAGCTTTCGGTCATAAGTGATTCAGTTTGTACTGGGAAAGTTTAGCAGAGAAGACACACAAGGGAAAGATGAAAAGACAGTTCAGAACAAACGTTGCGTATGTATCTGAAATGCGCATGGTGTAGAACGATCCTCTAATCGCTTTCATATGCTTCAAGGAACAATTTTCAGGGGCTTATGGCTGGATCAGATGAACAAGGGTGCCTTTACCAACAAGTTTCACTAAGTCAAGTACACCCATTCACACTTATTGCCTGTGGATCAGTGGCTGCCACAAGCAGAAGCCATCCTAAGTGGCAGATATTGCAAAGCAGTGAGGTGTTTTCATACATTAGGAAACTTTCAACACCTGAAAATGGGTTACTATAGTGAAAATTATCTAATCCCCATGGTAAACCAAACATCGTGTGGTTAACAGCTGTGCATTGTGCAACAGTTTGGAACAAGGTCCCACCCCAGCTAAACTTGCAGCAACTCATGGGAACATAGGGATGCTGCCTTATCCCTACTTAGTCCACTGGTCCCTCTATCTACTTGGAGATGGCTGGGATTGAACCTGGGACCTTGTGCATCCAAAGCAAGGACTCTGCCACTGAGCTATGGCCCTTCCCTTCCTCAGTCCTGCCCATGTCTACCCAGAACCAATCCCCGTTGAGTTCAATGGGGTTTGGGATTAGAGCCTTATTCCCCCTAGAACCAATGGAACAAAACTTAGCTTTCCTGCATTATTCCTATGTTAGAATGGCCCCGAGAGGTTCTCAAAGCAGACTCCCAGGCTAAAACTGCACTCAAATCCAGCACAAGAGCAGAAGCTGCATGGTGTCCATATGGAACTGGGATTCTTCAGGCGCCTACCAAAGTCTTTTGAGTCAGCTGGATCTCGCTCAGCCTGCGATGGATCTGCCTTGCTGGCAATTGATGGTTGCCAATCAACACATCCCTCTGGGGTCCTCTGAGGCAAGGGAATAAGGCTAAGCAGCTGGATCCTGCTCAGCCCCTGATGGAAGCAGCTTCTGTTGCTGACAGCTGGCAGGTAACAATTCATCTGGAGTAAGGGAGTGTGGCTGAGCGGCTGGATCTCATTCATCCCCATAGTGTCATCATTCCCAGTTAAGTAGCTGTGGCTGCATTTGTTCATTTATCCTTCCATCTATTGTTTTCATCATTGTCTGTAAGCTCCTCGTGGGAAGGACCTCTGCCCTTTTGCCGGTGTATTTCTGAAAATGTGCTGGGTAATAATAAATCATAAAATAAGTTTCAAAGGCACTTTGTCATAACCAATTGTAGCTGGGCTGGGACTGGTAGTTATAAGGAAGCTACAAGTGACGAGGAATGGTTGGAGGAGCTTGGGAAAGAGGAGACTGGGAGAAGATACGATAGCCATCTTCAAATATCTCAATAGAAGATGGAGCAAGCTTGTTTTCTTCTGCTTCAGAGAGGTTAGAGCTCAAACCAATGGCTTCAAGTTACAAGGGGATTCTGACTTAACTTCAGGAAGAACTTTTTTTAAAAAAAAATTATTAAGAATTTCAGCATAACAAATTATCAAAACATATCATCTTCATCCCCCCCATTTTCCCCTCCCCTCCTCCCTAAGAAAAACCCTCCCCAAGACTTCCCTCAGCTCCTCTCTCTGATTTTTCAGCACGTTATTCTCTGCATATTGTAAAATTATAAAGATCCTTAATTATCTGTCTATTATGTTAACAATCAATAAATTTGTGTATGTTTATTCAAAACCTGCCAAGGAGTTCAATTCATTTTGTTGTTTTTTTAAGTAGTTTATAAAAAGTTCCCATTCTTCTTTAAAGTCACAGTTGTCCTTGTCTCGCAGTTTGTATGTCAATTTCGCCAATTCTGCATGATCCATCAATTTCTCTTGCCACTGTTCTTTTGTCGGGGTTTCCTCATTCTTCCATCCTTGTGCTATTAAGACTCTTGCTGCCGTTGTCGCATACATGAATAAATTCTTTATTTTCCTTGGCAGGTCTTTTCCTACAATCCCTAACAAAAATGCTTCTGTTTTTTTTTTACAAATGTTAATTTAGACATTTTCTTCAACTCATTATATATCATAACTTCAGGAAGAACTTTCTGATGGTAAGAGCTGCTCTACAGTGGAATGGTCTCCCTCGGGAGGTTGTGGACTCACCTTCCTTGGAGGTTTCTAAGCAAAGGTTAGATGGCTAATTGTCATGGATGCTTTAGCCAAGATTCCTGCATTGCAGGATGTTGTACTAGAGGACCCCCAAGATCCCTTCCAAGTCCACAATTCTATGATAATAGGCAAACTACCCACTTACTGGGTTTGAGATACTGGAAGGTGCTGTGTTTCTTGTCACCTTCACTGAATTATCTTAACAGCATCTGCAAGACAGAGCTTAGAGAGCTGGGCTAATCTTTAGCTCTTCTTCAGTTGTTAGCCTCCCACACCCCCTGGCGTCATGTCCTCTGCAGCCATGGCCCGTCATTGTAATCTTACATAAATTTAAGGTGTAATTCTGCCCACTCCCAGATGAAACATTGTGTTTGATTAGCCAGATGAATCCTCTAAAAAAGAACAATTACCTATACAATTACAGCTCAGTCATGGCTTTTTATGAGTCACGGCTATTGCTATTTTCTAAAGGAAAAAAATGTGTTTAGGAGCAACTCGGAGTGGGAGATTAAATAGCATTGTAAGCAATTGCTATTTAAACAACCCTCTCACTCTGCAAATGGCTTGCTTCTATTCGTGACCAAACATGTACGTTGATGTCAAAAGAGTGAAGCAACCGGCAAGATGCAGGAGTCAGTCGTCAATTTGACTGCTCCGGGCCAGGAAAGACGTGTTTCATGTGCATATTGAAGCCAACTTTGCGCTCAGGTGGATGAGGAACTTGCACGACAAATTCCAATCCGTCTGTTGGGGCCCAATGAAACTGCAAGTGCGTGCAGTTAAACGATGGAACTGCCTTCCACAAGGAGGCAGTGATGGTCACCAGCTTTAAAGGTAAAGGTAAAGGGACCCCTGACCATTAGGTCCGGTCGTGACCGACTCTGGGGTTGTGGCGCTCACCTCACTTTATTGGCCGAGGGAGCCGGCGTACAGCTTCCAGGTCATGTGGCCAGCATGACTAAGCCGCTTCTGGCGAACCAGAGCAGTGCACAGAAAAGCCGTTTACCTTCCCCTCGGAGCGGTACCTATTTATCTACTTGCACTTTGATGTGCTTTCAAACTGCTAGGTTGGCAGGAGCAGGGACCAAGCAATGGGAGCTCACCCCGTTGCGGGGATTCGAACTGCCAACCTTCTGATTGGCAAGCCCTAGGCTCTGTGGTTTAACCCACAGTGCCACCCACGTCACCAGCTTTAGATGGCTTTAAAAGCGGAATAGACCAATTCATGGAGGAGACGACTCTCAAAGGCCACTAAGCATGATGGCTTTGCTCTGCCTCTACTCTTGAATACCAGTTGCTTGAAACCTCAGGAATCATAGGATCCTAAAATCATAGAGTTGGAAGGGACCCTGAGGATGACTTTGGTCCAACCCCCTGCAATGCAGGAAAATGCAGCTGTTCTATACAGGGATCAAACTTGCAACCATGGTGTTTTCAGCACCACTCTCTAACCAACTGAGCTATCCAGGCTTGAGAGTGCTCTTGTGCTCAGGTCTTGCTTGAGGGTTCCCCACAGGCATCTGGTGGCTCCCTGTGAAAATAGGATGCTGGACTAGATGGGCCATTGGCCTGATCCAGCAGACACTTATTATGTTCTTATGTGCTGATTAGATGTCTGGGAGAGGGAACAGGGAGCCGGATGCAGTACCATCGCACCCGGCTGCCCTTCAAGCCCCCAACTGGTTGTGCCGCAGCTGCTTCTACAGAGCTAAGCATGTGTGGCCTGGTCTGCTATGTAAGTCAGAGATGGGCCAAGGAAATAAAGTATTTCAAACCCAAACAATGCACTTTGCAGCCACCTGAAGCCACTGTATTATGAGCCACCAAACCTTGAAAAATTTAAGAGCCCTGCTGGATCAGGCCCAGGGATGAGGAACCTTTAGCCCTCCATATGTTGGCCAACAAAGGTCCGTATAGTTAAAGTCATGGTTTTCCCAGTGGTGATGTATGAAAGTGAGAGCTGGACCATAAAGAAGGCTGATCGCCGAAGAATTTATGCTTTTGAATTATGGTGCTGGAGGAGACTCTTGAGAGTCCCATGGACTGCAAGAAGAACAAACCTATCGATTCTTAAGGAAATCAAGCCTGAGTGCTCACTGGAAGGACAGTTCGTGAAGCCGAGGCTCCAGTACTTTGGCCACCACATGAGAAGAGAAGACTCCCTGGAAAAGACCCTGATGTTGGGAAAGATGGAGGGCACAAGGAGAAGGGGACGACAGAGGACGAGATGGTTGGACAGTGTTCTCGAAGCTACAAACATGAGTCTGACCAAACTGCGGGAGGCAGTGGAAGACAGGAGGGCCTGGCGTGCTCTGGTCCATGGGGTCATGAAGAGTCGGACACGACTGAATGACTAAACAACAAACAACAATTGTTGGGGAAAGGTGTGTTTTGTTTGCTTTGCTTGCTTGCTTGCAAAAACAGAGGCAACCCAGCTACTTTGAAGGTTGGGGGTTCCATGATCCACCTTGACACACCTTGTTAATGGTACGATCCAACTCAGGAACATGAGAGCCAACCCTGATTCACCACACTGTTCAAGATAACATGCCGAGCTGATGCGTACCCTCCAATATTTCTCGGATGAAAATAGGGACGTCCCATTCCATAATGACCATTTTACTATTTATACCCCACACATCTTATTTGGGTTGCTACAGCCACTCTGAGCAGCTTCCAACATATATTAAAACATAATAAAACATTAAACGTTATTTTTTTAAAAAAACTTCACCAAATAGGATTGCCTTCGGACAGCTCGAGGGTTGGATAACTCCATACCCTCCAACATTTATCCAGTGAAAATAGCGACATCCTAAGGAAAAGTGAGACATTCTAGGGATCAAATAAGAAACCAGGGTGGCTTCTCCAAATCAGGGACATCCCTGGAAAATTGGGACACTTGGAGGGTCTGCTGATGCACACTCCAAATTCTCACTGAATGGCCCTGTCCGGTGAACTTCATAACTAAGAGAGAAAAGGTGCTTCCATAACAGTGAAGGGTTGCAGCAGGTGGAATTTCAGAAGGTGCAAATGGCCATATCACCACACTGGGGGTTGGGGGGAGTCAGTTCTCATGCTTTTCATAACTGCCAGTGTCATAAATTTGGGCTCTTTGGGGGGAAAGGATGCAATATCATCATCATCAAAAACAACAACAACAACATAAAGATTTTTAATGGGGAGTACAGATGGGACGTAGGGGGTGGCGCTGTGGGTTAAACCACAGAGCCTAGGACTTGCCAATCAGAAGGTCAGCGGTTCAAATCCCTGCGATGGGGTGAGCTCCCGTTGCTCGGTCCCTGCTCCTGCCAACCTAGCAGTTTGAAAGCACATCAAAGTGCAAGTAGATAAATAGGTACCGCTCCAGCGGGAAGGTAAACGGCATTTCTATGTGCTGCTCTGGTTCACCAGAAGTGGCTTAGTCATGCTGGCCACATGACCCGGAAGCTGTACGCCAGCTCCCTCGGCCAATAAAGCGAGATGAGTGCCGCAACCCCAGAGTCAGCCACGACTGGACCTAATGGTCAGGGGTCCCTTTACCTTTACCTTTTACAGTTGCTCTGCCTCCCTTTACATTTAGCCATCCTAGCTGAATGGATGACAAAACTGAAGAAAGTTGCAAAAAAAGTTATATAAGCTATACCAGTGATAAAGTCTTCCAGGCATTGTTCAACTCCAATTGTCATCAGCCCTAGCTAGCATTCCCAGTATCCAGGAATTTTTGGAAACCAACAGCTTCTGGAAAGCACCAGATTCCCTATCCATCATCTACATGACTAGGGGAAATATTTAACTACTGCTGCATCCGTTATATGTGGTGTGTTGTTTTCAGTGATGCTGATCACTAGATCAATGTTTTCATTTTTTTTTTAATGAGTAAATAAAAATTGTTAAAAGTACAGGAAACCTGTGCAACAAATGCCTTTCTTGGTCTTGATGGAAAGCCATGTTCTTTTTTGGACATAAATGACTGACTAGACAATCCCTGCAAAAAAATAGCATGCAAAAATATTAGAAGGGGATGGTGTCATCGCTGAGCATTTTAGCATGCAAAAGAATAAACAGGTTGGTTTTCAGAAAGCACTATGGACATCGTCAGTGCCAATAAGAATTTCCTCCGGTTCTGTGTGTTATATGAAGATCTTCCTCTGCCACCTAGTGGGCTTGTCTGTTCCAAAATTCTTTCATCATTTGGCCAGTCTAAGCCACTGAAATGTGTTCCATGCGGAAGCAGGAAGTCGATACTTCTGAATCTCCCCTTTCTTGACCTTTGATTCTTACAGCCTGCACTCTGTGATCAGAAAAAAGAATGCCGTCTGGGTGTATTTGCAAATATATAATTTTGCTAATGCATTCTGATTGCAAATGTTGACTTAGGGTTGATCAGACATGTTGTTGCATAGGAATAGAAACAAACAAATGAAAAATCATAAAACTGTAGAACTGTCCAACCCCCTGCAATGAATAGGGACGTTGTATTATGACTTTGTCTTCTTCAGATTTCTTGCCCATCCTTCACCATAAGGTCCCAGGGTGAATATCAATCATTTACTTCTATTTATTTTGTTTTTTAAAAAAGACTTGCCCACTGCAATTTCATTAAAAAAGGATCAAATCCGTTTACAACTGTTATATCTGTACAATAAAAACCACATAACAATTTAAAATCACATGTTATCAAACAACTATTACAGATGTTTTATTATGTGGAAAAAGTCCATGTCAAGGGAAATGAAGGTACGGGTATCAGCATTCTTTCAAAGTAAACATGCCAACAGGGAAAACAGAGAAGAGATAGCAAAAATCCAACACTGCAATTAAGTTATGGGGATGAGGTTCTCTGCTGTGAATGTTTTCATGTCAAGTGCTTTTAAGGGAACATAGGCAAACATTTTCTTTATTTTGCAAAATAAAGAACTTTTTGCACATTCAAGAGCAAGTGGCCAGACAGATGGCATATTGCTTTTGCCCCATCTTTGCCCCTATATGCTGAGAATGGGCATTATTTAAATCTCTTGTCCCTGCTCTGCATATAGTTTCATGGAGGACTATGTAACCCTTGGGTCAGCCCCCAGGTCTGGGGTCAGTGTCTAGAACAGCCTTTCTCAACCTTGGGTCCCAAGATGTTGTTGGACTACAACTCCCATCACCCCTAGCTAGCAAGGCCAGAGCTCAGGGATGATGGGAGTTGTAGGGACCCACAGGTTGAGAACCGCTGGCTCTAGAGGGCATTCTTTTATATTAATTTCTGGCTCAAGCCCCACCCAGGGAACTTCAGACTCCAATATGGATGTCAGAGGAGCAGCCTTCCCTCAGAGCACACACATTCCTTAAGCTATGTGCAAGCAATGACTTTATTCAGCTAACAAGCAACAGGGGTTCAACAAGAGATTAGCTACATAGAGAACAGTACAAAAACATATTTGAGTCTCCCAAGGCCCAGCTGTGCCAAAGCAAATCTGTGTTCTTAGGGGGCACAGTCAGTTTGGTGATGCAACCGAGGAGTCGATGCAAAATTTGAGAGCGTTGCAATTTGAGAGGCTGCCGGGATGCATTGCAATAAAGAACTCCAGGCAGCAGGTGGCAGCAGTGACGTTTCTGCAGCTCCAAGCCCGGTCCAAGGTCCTAGGGTCCAAGGTACTAGCAAGGCCTGGCAAAGGCCCACGGCAGCTGCAGCGAGGCTTGGTGAGGCCCGTCCCCTCAATGTTTTTTGGGGGGGAGCCTCAGCCCTGTCCCATGGGGGAGTGAGGGTTGGTGCCTATGATGGCTGTGCATCGGATTTCATTTTATGCTACTCTGCAGTTTCAATATGTTGTTTTTCTTGTGGTTTTTAGTTCCTCCATTTTATGTGAGCTCCTCTGAAAGTCCAGGGGATGAAGACTAGGATTCAAGCGTTCGAAGTAAATACATAAATAACGGCCTTGTGCCTGTGTCGTTTATTCTCTCTAATATAAAGGTATCTGATCTAATGAAAAGGGGGGAAAGCACATCACTGAATCATTTTGATCTATGCCTGCATTTCTGGAAGGGCACGTGACCGTGACTAAACCTGTGGTTCAGAAACGCAAACATGCCCCAAGGTATAATTACAAGGCCTAAAATGGACCGCTGCAAAGGATAGCCTGTCAATTTGTTTGCTTTTTTAGACGCACTACCAGAAAACAGCTGAGATGGTACATTAAGTGCTAGGATGCGGATGAAAGAATGATACCCACATCTGGAATGTCAAAATATGCCCTTGGGTGTCATCAATAGAGTTTCAGGTTATAAGCAACAAATGCATCTTGATGCTGTGGATTCTTCTCATAGATCCTGAACCAGATGGAATATTCCAAACAGAGGAAAAATATCTATTTTGGGGGCGGGGAGCTGCAGTCTCTGAATTGGATGCAAATAATCCAAGGAGAAAATGCATGCACGATCCTTCACAAATTCAAGCAGGTGTGCTAACTACAGCTCTGCACAAATGGCCTCTGGAAATGCTCCACTGAATAGAATAGAATAGAATAGAATAGAATAGAATAGAATAGAATTTATTATTTATACCCCGCCCATCTGGCTGGGTTTCCCCAGCCACTCTGGGCGGCTTCCAACAGAGTATTAAAATACAGTGGTCTGTTAAACATTAAAAGCTTCCCTAAACAGGGCTGCCTTCAGATGTCTTCTAAAAGTCTGGTAGTTGTTTTTCTCTTTGACATCTGGTGGGAGGGCATTCCACAGGGCGGGTGCCACTACCGAGAAGGCCCTCTGCCTGGTTCCCTGTAACTTGGCTTCTCGCAGCGAGGGAACGGCCAGGAGGCCCTCGGCGCTGGACCTATTGCTGCACAGTTGATGAAAGAAGGGAAATTGATGTCATTCTGGAGTAACGTTTACCTCTGGAGTCTGTCACAGGAGCAGGGTACTGATGGGGTGAGAGAGACCTGTATGACTGACTTCTCTTTGGCCTATTTAGTTCAGTATAGCGTAAACTGGCTGACAGTGATTCTCCAGGGTTTGGTGCAGGAACATTCCCAGCCATACCTAGAGACGCCAGGTATTGAACCTTCTGCGTGCCAAGCAAATTCTATCACTGAGCTACAAGTCCATGGCGAGTGAAATTGTGGTTGGAAGAATATTCAGATTCCTTCCCCAGTGGCAATATCACCATCATACAAGTATGCCCGATCCATCATAGTACTTTTAGGGCACAATTCAGGCTATCCCTTTACTCCAGTTCTTCCATTTGTGTATCTCTCTCTCTGTGAGGTGCCAATAGGAGAATGGGGAAACCTAACAGGACTTTCTTGGGCTCCATGATCACTGCAGATGGTGACAGCAGTCACGAAATTAAAAGATGCCTGCTTCTTGGGAGAAAAGCAATGACAAACCTAGACAGCATCTTAAAAAGCAGAGACATCACCTTGCCAACAAAGGTCCGTATAGTTAAAGCTATGGTTTTCCCAGTAGTGATGTATGGAAGTGAGAGCTGGACCATAAAGAAGGCTGATCGCCGAAGAATTGATGCTTTTGAATTATGGTGCTGGAGGAAAATTATGAATTATTTGAATTATGGTGCTGGAGTCCCATGGACTGCAAGAAGATCAAACCTCTCCATTCTTAAGGAAATCAGCCCTGAGTGCTCACTGGAAGGACAGATCCTGAAGCTGAGGCTCCAATACTTTGGCCACCTCAAGAGAAGAGACGACTCCCTGGAAAAGACCCTGATGTTGGGAAAGATGGAGGGCACAAGGGGGCGACAGAGAACGAGATGGTTGGACAGTGTTCTCAAAGCAACCAGCATGAGTTTGACCAAACTGCGGGAGGCCGTGAAAGACAGGAGTGCCTGGCATGCTCTGGTCCATGGGGTCACAAAGAGTCGGACATGAATAAATGACTAAACAACAACAACAACAACAGGACAGAAGTCGATGACTAGAGAGTAACAGGAGAGGGAAGGAATCAGCTAGGCACTGAATTGTGTCCTAAATACAACCTGCTTGACAAACATTATCTCAGTACAGTGGACGCTCGGGTTGCGAACATGATCTGTGCAGGATGCACATTCACAACCTGCAGCGGCGCATCTGCGCACATGTGGGTTGCAATTCAGCACTTCTGCACATGCACAAAGCACGATTTAGCGTTTCTGCGCATGCGCAACCTCCGAAACCCGGAAGTAACCCATACCGGTACTTCCGGGTTTCGGCAGTGTGTAACCCGAAAAAAGGCAACCTGAAGCATCTGTAACCCGAGGTATGACTGTAATTTTTAAAACAACCCCCTACGGTGCCCTGGTGTTATTATATTCCTACAACAGGATTTCTTTGTTTCTGAGGTACTCAGAAGAAAAGTGCTTAAACAAGAAACCCCAACCTTCCTCTCCACCTTGAGAGAGTGGGGATTGTAAATGTGGCCATGCAGGGCTTTCGAGACCCCACAAAGAGCTATTGCAAAATAGTTTCTTCCAGCAGGATGCTGAAACTCAGCTGGAGAGATGTCAACTTCACTTAGAGAAAATGCTGATTTATATGCCAAAGTACCCTATAATTTAGGAGACTGGTAACGGTGCAATGAACCAACAGCTTGCCAATGCATCCAGTATGTGATTTCTTTCATAGCACACCCAAACCCGGCTATAATTGTAATGGTTGTTCATGGGCATCTTTCAGAATATAACCCAGTAAACTTACATTTAGGATAATTAACAGTAACGGGAGTTTAACAGACTTCAGATTTCTTAAAGAGCAAACACACTTTACCACCCTTCTCCGCAAAGGCAAGTGCTATTTGGAATATTGTTGAGTAACTGATAGCTGAAATTCCAACGCAGCAGACATGTGTAGATGCAATGTCATGCAGTGAAGGCAATCTTTTATTTCACCCAACTTGTTTATGTGTTGTGATTGTGAAGTGTCTTTCAGTCATGTGTCATGTGCAGATCACTCTGCCCAACACCGGTGTCTCCATTTTGGGTGAAATGCTTGCAGAATGCCACACACAAGGGTCATCTGTTTACCCATTAGGGATGGGGGAGGGACTTGATTCAGTTCATATTTAAAAACAGAGCTACTAATATACACTTTCCAGAACAACATGCAAACCAGAACACAATCATCTTTCAAAATCTGCTTTTCTATCAATTTTTGAAATGCAATTCTGCAGTAATGTAATAGTTACAAAAATGCATATATTGGGGTAAAGTGTTTATTAAAGTGCATATATTAGCAAAAATATACAGTTGTACCTTGGAAGCTGAACGCCTTGGCACTCGTACGCTTTGGCTCCCAAACGCCGCAAACCTGGAAGTGAGTGTTCCGGTTTGTGACTGTTCTTTGGAAGCCGAACATCCGGTGCAGCTTCTGCAGCTTCCAATTGTGTGCAGGAAGCTCCTGCAGCCAATCGGAAGCCGCGCCTTGGTTGCCAAATGTTTTGGAAGTCGAACAGATTCCGTTCGGCTTCCAAGGTATGACTGTACAGAATCTATTTGGGAAAATTGCTTTGCAAAATGGTGTATTTTAGGCAAGACACCTGTAACAACAGATAGTTGCTTCTTCACATTTGGCAGGTGCATTATCTGAAGAATATAGGAAGCTGCCTTTCCAAAATAGTGGCTTGCCAGAGTTTCACACGGAGCTCTTCACCAGCCTTACCTGGATATACTAGAGGCTGAACCTTCAACCACCTACATTTAATTTCATTTGCCTCCATGCAGGCAGGAAAAAGTCAACATCAAAGTTTCTTTTTTAAAAAAAAGTTTTTATTTATACTTTTCTAGTTTATGCATTTCATTAGTTTTACAATCAATTTAAGATTTCAAAGTTTGACTTCCTTCCCCCTCTTTCTGCGGTTCCTTTTTTTTTAATATCTTCTGCATATCCAAATTCATTTAATTATCTACTTTAAATATATACTCTTGTGAAACTGCAGGTTATTGCAATAATCCTGCCAATGTTTTTATCTGTTTGCAATTTATCTGTAAATATTCAATAAACCATTTCCATACTTTTATAAAAAGTTTGTTATCTTGATTTCTTATTCTTCCGGTAAGTTTTGCCATTTCTGCAGGTTCCGTAAGTTTTTGTATCCATCAATACCAGAGTTCCAGGGCACATTCTGGGGAAAACATTCATGGAGGGAGTGGCCTACAGAAAGCAGGTGTGACTGGGAAGAGTTCAAAAGACCAGGGCCTGAGGTTCACCACACCTGTAGTTCAGGAAGACCCTCAGGAGCAGCTGTTTGGAAGGGGCCGAAGTGGCTGTTTCAGGAACAGAGAGGTGGAAAAGCCCCATTGTGGAAGCGCTGCTCTTGACTCCAGCTGCTGCATCTCCCTGGCTACTATACAATGTTTCTTTCTTGCTGGTCCTCTTGATTAAGTTCGAGAGGAATCCAGCTTTCCCCCCTGTTTAAGTGCTATTGTGTTACCCCTTCATCAAAACACCGAGCTGTGTAATTACCTTCTGAGACATGAGTCACCTTGGCTCTGAGTGCCCAGAGCTGCTTCCCTCTATAAAAGGGGCTGCAAGGTCCCTCTACCTGCTCTTCTCAAGCCACCCGTTGCACATCTAGGAAGAAATGGAGCTCTGTTGGATGCTGTGCCCACTTTGGTTTCTTGTGCTTTCGTTGACGTATTCAGCTGCCGCCCCTGCTCTTTTTGCACTGCCGCGGACAGCCGGTTGGAAAGATTTCTACCTGGCCCAGGTTGGTGGTGATTTGCACATCTTAATGGCTTAGGGAGTGATGCTAAGTCCCTCCTAGCATAGCAAGGCTTTGCAGAGCAGCAGCCAGGGTGGAAGATGTCCGGGTGCACAGGCAAACCACTGCATTAGCCTAGATCTGACGCAGCAGTTAGGTCCAGCTCATGAACCACACTCCTGGAGAGCATCTCCTTGTGAGGAAAGGCTGCAGATGCTTTTTAGTTTAGAGAAAAGGCAAGTAGAATCATAGTAGAATTGGAAGGGACCTTGAGGGTTACCGTATTTTTCGCTCTATAAGATGCACCTGACCATAAGACGCACCTAGTTTTTAGAGGAGGAAAACAAGAAACAAGAAAGCAATGCAAAGCCTCTTGCTCTTCTGGCTTCAGGGATAGCTGCGCAGCCTGCATTTGCTCCATAATACGCTCCATAAGACGCACACATTTCCCCTTACTTTTTAGGAGGGGGGAAGTGTGTCTTATAGAGCGAAAAATACGGTATTTTCTCCAACCTACTGCAATGCAGGAATATGCAGCTGTCCAATACGGGGATTGAACCTGCAGCCTTGGCGTGATCAGCACCACACTCTAACCAGCTGAACTATTCCAGGCAGAGTAGAAATGCTAGGAATGGTGGGATTTTTATTTTCTGCACTACATTGAGTGGAATATCGCCCCTCACTTTTTATGCGTGGGTGGAGAAAGGTGTCCCCATTCCCCCAATGTCATGGAATTCATGGGCACCCAGTGAAATTGAACGCCAAAGATTTGGTACAGACAGACAATGGTCCTTCTTCACAAAGCACAGTTATACTATGGCTGGAGGATGGGGAGTCCCATCGTGCAAGCAGAAGTCGATTCATTTGTGCATTTAGTTAGTTGAATACTGCCCAAAGTTGGTGTTGCTTTCCTTTTGACCTGAGGCGGAGAAGCCAAAATATGGACTTTCTTTCTCAGGAGCCAAACATCTCAGCCCTGCCCTGCCTTTCATAAGTATGCATATCAAAGCAAAAAAAAAAAAGTGGGGATAAAATGTCTTCCTTACCCCTTTCTTTCTCTTTCTCTCTGCCTGTAGGAATACCTGGACAAATATTACACCCCGAAAGGAGAACATCACGTTGGAGAAATGACCAGCGGTAGCAATTCCATGACCAGGAAGGTCCAGCAGATGCAGGCGTTCTTTGGCTTGCGTGTCACAGGGAAACTGGACTACAGTACCATGGGAGTCATGAAGAGGCCTCGGTGTGGCGTCCCTGACGTAGCAAACTATCGCCTTTTCCCAGGGGAACCAAAGTGGAAAAAGAACACATTGACATACAGGTAACAGGCTGACATCAAGCATACAGTGGACGCTCGGGTTGCAAATGTGATCCGTGTGGGAGACATGTTCACAACACGCAGCGATCGCAACCCACAGAGCCGCATCTGCGCACACTCAGGTCGTGATTTGGCACTTCTGCTCATGCGCAAAGTGTGATTTAGTGCTTCTGGGCATGCGCGAGCGCTGAAACCCGGAAGTAACCTGTTCTGGTACTTCTGGGTTCAGCGCAGTGCGCAACCCGAAAACACACAACCTGAAGTGTCTGTAACCCGAGGTATGACTGTACTTGAAATGTTTTAGATTGTCCCCTCTCCCCAGGAGTTTTCTTCTTGTTATCTGGCAATCTGCAGAAGATGCAGCAATGGCCACCAACTTGGTTGGCTTTGAAAGATGATGGTGATTATAATCTACTCGTCGTAGTGTATAGTGTGGCATGCTTCATTAGGATGAGCATCCAGGGCCTTTTTTGTTGGTTGGTTTGTTTCAACAAAGGAAGAAGGGAGGGGGGAAATGACATGGCAAACAAATAAGGAAGAGGTAAAGAGGCAAAAGGCTAATGAAACAACCACAACAAGTGGTCAAGAAGCCAAAATAGGAGATTTATTTCCTGCAGAGGCAGGGCAGAATGGGAGGGCCAAGGGCAGGATAGCTCCACCTTTGGGTTCTTCCTGGCGTATCCAATTTATGTGCGATCGCCAATGCACGGGTCCTTTGGGACCTGGAAGAAGGCAAAACTGGGGTGAGATGGGGCAGGGCACGCTCCACTGACACACGTGTCGGCCGCAAACCAAATCCCCACACAAAATGCTTGCCACCTGTGTACACCATGCCTTTTCTACGGGCAAAATTATGCAACTGACTCTGGGCTTATCTTATCAGAATTCACCTTGTGGGTTGCCTGTTTGTGCTTTTTGGGGGGTATGAACTACATGACACTATCCAGGTGGCATGTCAGTTTTCCTGCAGTTAAAACCCACATTTTGTCTAACCACTAGCAGTGCAAAAAGGTTTTCTAAAACAATTACCGTATTTTTCACCCCATAGGACGCACCGCCCTATAGGACGCACCTAGTTTTGGGGGGGGTGAAATAAAGGGGGGGAATTATTATTTTTTTCCCCAGGCACGGGGCTGGGGCGGGGGAAGCCCGAGCTTCCCCCTGCCCCAGAACGGGTCCCAGAGCGATGCAGAAGCTGCGCCGGGCTCCGGAGGGTTGCGCAGAGCTTCCTGAAGCCTGGAGAGCGAGAGCCTCTCGCTCTCCAGGCTTCAGCGAAAGCCTGTATTCGCCCCATAGGATGCACCCACATTTCCCCTTCATTTTTGGAGGGGAAAAAAATGTGTCCTATAGGGCGAAAATACGGTACATTCATGCATTTGGCATATTGCGGTTTTTGGATTACATTGGGTTTGTCTGCTTTCAGACCCTGCCTCCTCGTTGGTGCCCATAACCATGTCATGCAGCCCTCTCTCACACACACCCTCCTGCCTTCTTTTTCACTGTTGCTGCAATTCTTTTCTGGGTGCACCTTCTGGGTGTATTTACCTGGGAGGAAGTTCCTTTGCACTGAATAGGGCTCACATCTGAGTAGGAGTGCCTGAGATTGTGCTGTGAGTTGTGTTAGTCACTAAAGAACACAGGCTGGATTTTCCTTTATTCACTGGATGGCAGCTGTTGTAAGACACATATTTCCCCCACCCCAAAAAAATAAAAATGATGCGCTAAAATGAATGTACTCAGAGAAAATATAGAGCTGATAGCAGGGTGAGATAGCAATTCTGACTGCTGAAACACATTGTTAGGGAGTTGCAGGGATGAAAGTCAGAGCGTAGTAGCAACCTAACAATGCCTCAAAAACGTGTGGTGATGGGGAGAGAGAGACACAAACAGAGTGCGTGTGTTTTCCTTATTTTGTCTGGAAGCACAGATAGAAGGCTGTTTCAACAGTGCTGATGGACTGCTTATGAAGGGTCCGTGGTTTTTAAAAATCATCAACATGACTCTTGATCTGGAATAGAAATTGGCAGAATGTGTAAAGTAAAAAGGTAAAGGACCCCTGGACGGATAAATCCAGTCAAAGGCGACTATGAGGTGCAGTGCTCATCTTGCTTTTCAGGCCAAGGGAGCCAGTGTTTGTCCACAGACAGCTTTCCCGGTCATGTGGCCAGCATGATGAACTGCTTCTGGCGCAACAGGACACCGTGATGAGTGCCAGAGCACACGGAAATGCTGTTTGCCTTCCCGCCGCAGTGGTACCTATTTATCTACTTGCACTGGTGTGCTTTCCAACTGCTAGGTTGGCAGGAGCTGGGACAGAGCAACGGGAGCTCACCCTGTAGCTTGGATTTAACTGCTGACCATCTGATCAGCAAGCCCAAGAGCCTCACTGGTTTAGACCACAGTGCCACCCGCTTCTCTTAAATGTGGGTAGTCCTAGTACAATGCAATATGAGAACAGTGAACAACCAGCCTTGGTATGGAACCATGGAGGGCTGCAATCAACAAAACAGATTTAGAAAATGTGGATTTTCAACAGCGGTGCAAAAGAGTCATCAGTCATGTTTGGAATGAGATAGAGGGCTGACCACAAAGTTACTCCCTTTTCTTATTAATGACAATGGCCCCACCTGAAGGATGCAAGGCAACATGTCCTCACCATCAGCCAACTCAATTATGAGTCCTGCATAGACCTTCCTTGAGCTCCATGACCTACCTAATATCCTTGGAAGCAGCTTGCAGTACTAGGGAGGCAAATTGTATGGTGGGAGACCACTCTGTAGAATGTAGCTGGTACATGGGGGGTGGGATGACAACTTATTTATCAAGCGTTTATCCTGATTTTCTCACACAAAGTTTCTGCAGCAGTTAGACTATGTCCAGTCTTTACAGAGCATTCATTTCGATTGCTATATGGAGTTGTTACACAACAAAGATTGCATTATATTCTCAACAAATGTTCTTAAACCGCGATGAATTGAAAATATACCCAAGCACCACAGACCTTGTTGTCCGCTAACATTTTACATGGAAAGTGCCCTTTATTATAGCTGTTTTATGGGAGTGCTCATTTACCTTTCCAAAGATTGCTATCAGACTAGGAAATTTAGTTTGGCTCACATTTTGCATTTTTAAAAGTACCTAATTCACACTTCCCAAAACAATACACCAGCCGTAACCCAGCTATCCATCGAAAATCACACTTCACCAAATTTTGTTATGCATATATCTAAAGAAAGTGTGAATTTAAGTGCAACATGCAAAAATGAATTACTTTAGGAGAAAATGTGTATATTAGGCAAAATTGCATAAAATCCTGGTGAATTTTCATGAGATTTTTTTTAAAAAAATGCAAACTAGTGCAGAAATGTGAGTGAAATTAGAAACTTAAATTGCAGGTTCCTCCATTCCTAGTTCAGATTATTACTCTTTCTTTACTGTATGTGTTGGATTTCCCTTTATCTTGATAACCTGGCTTTATCATTCCCATCATTCAGGAGCAGCTAGGGGGCAGTAGGAGGTCCACTGTGGACCTAGGCTGCCAGCAGCCACATCGCTGCTGGCAAACCAGGAAGGGGTGAGGTAGGGCTGTGGTGAGGCCAGGATGGTTCAGGCATATTGGCAGGAGCACCAGGTTGGCTATGCCGGTACACCTGAACAACCCCATCGCCACTGCCACCCAGTCTCACCTTGCTCGCAATCCCAGTTCACAGCAACAGGTGAGAGGGGGGACAGTCTACTGCATCACTCTTCCCCTCTGGCCGCTCCTGCCATCGTTGCATATCTGCATCCTGAAACGTGTCATTTCCCTCCTCAGAGTAACAAAATATACATCAAGCCTGAGTCACGCAGATGTTGACAAGGCCGTGGAGATGGGGTTGAAAGCCTGGAGCGCGGCTGCCCCTCTGAATTTTGTAAAGGCCACCTCGGGAGAAGCGGATATCATGATATCGTTCCAAAGCGGAGGTAATTGTTATCACTAAAGTCTGCGACACTAGCTGCTCAACCTTTGCGCTATTGTGAAGAGGTTAAGCTGGGCAAAATAATAAGGCAATTTATTTATGCTGGTTTAGATGCACGGAACCGTCCCTTGGAAAGTGGCAAGTGTGAAAAACGGCTAGAGGATGAAAGGGCAGCCGTAACAAAAAGGGAACATTTCTAAATATTTTTTAAAGCATGGGCAAACACATTGCACAGTTCTGCATGAGAGTGCTTCAGGAAGGCTGCCACAGAGCTCATATGGAAGTGCTGTTTGTGAGACATGGAAGTGCCTCCATGTGTACAAACTCCTAAATTCCTGTAGCGGTGCTACTCCCCCCCCCCCCCAAGTCTTCACTCAGTGTTAGGGCCAGAGTTCAGTTCTTAGCAACAGCAGCAGCAGTCACAACAACAGCAGCGTATCCATAGAGCATTATCAACGTAAGCTGCATTTTTAAAGTAAAGGGAGAAGAACCTGCCCTGAGGAGCTTACAATCCAAAATTTGACATTAGGGAGAGAATTGAGGCAGGGAGTAGGGAAAGAGAGAGAGAAGTACAACAGGAATGATGTGGGTGTATACTGTACGGCTGACCTTGATTTTGTTGCTGTTGACCTGAGATTTTTAACAAGGGAATATTTGAAAGAAGTGCAACCAGTGTGCCGTGGCGCCCTGGGGTGCCTTGAATGATGCAGCGGGCAACACTGGCCTCTGTTCCTCTTTCCTTCCCTCCCTCCTCTGATGCCCTCTCACGTCTCTGCCTCCCAAAGGCTTGCACACCTGTTTGTTGCAGCGGCCCTGGCTACAAGCTCCCCAGGCAAATCGTGCCTTGGGGGCTGGCCAAGGGGTGCTGGTTGCCAGGAGCTGAGGTGGCCTCAGAGGAAGCAAGCAAGCAGGTGAGGGAGTCCAGCCAGCCAGTCCGCCAGCCCTTGCTGTTGGGAATGGACAGACAAGACCCAGGCCCCTGTGGGGCAGTGTGAGGAGGCACCTCTCTTTGGGGTAGGGGGGCAGCTCAGAGACCAGGGGCGGCAGCTGCAGCTGCTCAGAGGACTCCCAAGGAGAGGGGAGAGGAGGCTGAGGGAACACTCCACAAGAGAGGGTGTTCAACAAAGGGTGAGAGGCTGCCAGCTCTACAGGCAAGGGGTGACATAACTGGGCTCCTGAGCCCCACAGGGGTGCCGCAGAAAGAATGTAGTTGGTCAAGGGAGCCATGGATTCAAAAAGGTTGAAAACCTCTGCATTAGGGGCATCAAAGCCTTGCATGTATTGTATATGAAAAATGACCATTTCAGGCAATCACATAGTAGCTTGGTCTTTGTACCCAGACACTGGCAGATTTGTAAGGGATTTTGCAATATGTTTCAGATTCCATTGAAATGCTCTTGTTTGTGGGAGCCGCTGAGACCACAATGGAACGCACTGTGCAACTTATGTCTCTCTGATCTAACCATTACACCACCTGCCATGACTGTAAAGTCACATGATGTTCCTTGTACTCTGTGTTAGATCATGGGGACTCCTATCCATTTGACGGCCCGCGGGGGACTCTAGCCCACGCTTTCGCACCTGGGGAAGGACTGGGCGGAGACACCCATTTCGACAACGCGGAGAAGTGGACGATGGGAATGAATGGTAGGTGCAAAGCCACACAATGACCCGAAAGCACCCAAAAGAAGCAATTTGTCCCCAGCTAATCAAGTATGGCAGAATGCACAGACAACTGAATATGTATCAGAGAGAAACTCACCATTACTTATATGAAATATATTGTTTTGTATCATGTAGGGTTTAATCTATTCACTGTCGCGGCTCATGAATTTGGCCACGCCTTGGGCCTTGCCCATTCAGCCGACCCATCAGCTCTGATGTATCCAACATATAGATACCAACATCCATATGGCTTCCATCTCCCGAAAGATGACGTGAAAGGGATCCAGGCCCTTTACGGTAATAATTTAGATGCTTGCTTTTATTTATTTCAAGAGTTCTTTCTCCAGATTGAACTAGAGGGCAGCGTACAGTATAAACAGCAATCTAAAAACAACAGAGAATAAAATCATATGTCAGTTACAAAAGCAGCAGCACTGAGGCGAAACTCCAACCTTTGCTTAAAAATCCAGCCACCGAGAGTGAGACGGGGCAGCGCAAACTTCTTGGCCATAATAATAATAATATATTATTTATACCCCGCCCATCTGGCTGCGCTTCCCCAACCACTCTGGGCGGCTTTCAACAAAATATTAAAATACAATATTGCATCAAAGATTAAAAGCTTCCCTAAATAGGGCTGCCTTCAGATGTCTTCTAAAAGTCTGGTAGTTGCTGTTCTCTTTGACATCTGGTGGGAGGGTGTTCCACAGGGTGGGTGCCACTACCAAGAAGGCCCTCTGCCTGGTTCCCTGTAACTTTGCTTCTCGCAGTGAAGGAACTGCCAGGAGGCCCTCAGCGCTGGACCTCAGTGTCTGGGTAGAACGGTGGGGGTGGAGACGCTCCTTCAGATATACTGGACCGAGGGCATCACAATGCTGCCACTTGTCAGGACTAGGATGGAGCAGAGCAGTGGTGAGGGCCAAATAAGTGAGCAGTGGGAATGCTCACCTTCCCCTCCCCTTGCTGCCACCCCATGCCCCACCCCATTCCAGGAAGCAGCAGGACCACCACAAATTTGCTCACCTTTCCAAGGTCAGGCCATGTTGTGGGACAGCACCTCCTCCCAGCTGTATCTGGCAAGGGTGCAATTGTTTTGAAGTTTTCCCTGGTTGTCATGATTCCCTAGAGCAGGCATGGCCAAACTTGGCCCTCCAGATGTTTTGGGACTACAACTCCCGTCGTCCCTAGCTAAAAGGACCAGTGGTCAGGGATGATAGGAACTGTAGTCCCAAAACATCTGGAGGGCCAAGTTTGGCCATGCCTGCCCTAGAGGGACCTCACACCAGCCGGGAAGCCAGACTGTAGCCTGCCCACAAATGGGCCAATTGCAGGCAGGCTGCTAGGCTGGCTCCGCCCTAGGGGCAGGCCCAGCCGAGCCGACAGGCTTCTCTTGGGTCTGCTCCTCAGGTATAAATTCCCACCAGCCTCAGCCCTTTGCATCAGAACCAGGAGGACAGCACAGCAGCAGCGGCCAACCTGGTGAATTGCAAGTCCCCCCGTAATTATTTACACCCCTAAGGTGCCTTCTTCCTCTGTTCATTTCCATCCTGCAACTAGTCCTTGTCGGCTGGTATTTATTGAATATTTTCTACCAACAGAACCATATTCAATGGGCCTCATAGGAAGACGTACAATGAATACACTTCCAGCACTTAATTGCACAACTCGTAATAGCTTTCAGCTAAATGTATGGAATTATCTCCACTTTAAGACAAGCATTGGGTTAATCTGGGATGACCTATTCTTACAAACAAGTTATAATTTGATGTTATGGTTGGCATGTGTGAATCAGCCTTCTTCCATGCAGTGTTTCATAAAATTCACAGCCTAACTATTCAAATATCACGATCCACCAGGAATTCCAGAATGCAGGTTTTTGTATTGTTACAGATATGGAGTTAGTGAATGTCAGAAACTAGTAAAATGGTAGAATTTAGATAATACTGGAGTACTGAAGGGAAGATTCAAGGCAAGTAAAAAAAAAATACAGGCTAAGCTTCCTTTCCAGGTCAGGGATAGAGGACTTAACATGACAAAAGATGTTGAAATTGATTAAAGAGGAATCCTTGGGTCTGTGCCAATAAAAGTTGCCAAACAAAATTTTATGTGCAAAACAAAACTGCTCTTTTGTACCCCCAAAAAGCAAAAACCGGAGAATAGTTGGCACAGGCCTATATTAAACATACTGCAGAAGATATAAAAATGAGGTGGAGGGTAGAATCAATGGGTTGTATTAAGTTACGTTTTATTTAGGGTACACCCATTGAAATGAATGGACATGACTCACCTAGGTTCATCAATTGCATTGGGTCTACTCTGAGCGAACTTTAATTGAATGCAACCCAATATATTGAATGGGGTAAAATGGGACTTACACGGGATACATGGCCACAGGCAAGTCAATATATGTACTAAGTGCAGTTTTAACTTGGTTTGTGTGTCGTATTCTAGGGTCACGGCTATCTGGATCCAAAGTACCACAAGTACCGCATCCGCCTCTTTCCAAACCACCAACTCCGGCTGATCCAGACCACTGTGACGCCACGTTTTCGTTTGATGCTGTTACGATGCTAGGGAAAGAACTTCTTTTCTTCAAGGATAGGTGAGATTCCCGATTGATCTAACCTGCAAGAGGCAAGGCTATATCAGTGCTTGTGTTTTCCACGCCTTTTTTGGGTTGTTGCTTTTCTAAGGAAGCTCCCAACTCTGCTCTCCAAATATGACAATTGAGTTCAAAGTCCCTCCTTTGCAAAGAAAAATGAAATAATCCCTTGATTGCGGGACCAGGCATCAGACTTCCCATACTCCAACCTGTATAATAAGAGACCAATAAGACTGGGTTTTGGGTCAAAACAGGTCACAGCTGTATTGAATACAGATGAAAGAGGTTTGGCTGGGGCATGGGGCAATCTAAATACTTCCGGCCCACCCGCGTGACGCGTGGCCAATCCTAAGACTTACATCTAATAGGGTGACCTAATCTAATAGGGTGATCTAATAAGATTCCACCTAAACATTAGGAAGAACTTCCTGACAGTAAGAGCTGTTTGACAGTGGAATTTGCTGCCAAGGAGTGTAGTGGAGTCTCCTTCTTTGGAGGTCTTTAAGCAGAGGCTTGACAACCATATGTCAGGAGTGCTCTGATGGTGTTTCCTGCTTGGCAGGGGGTTGGACTCGATGGCCCTTGTGGTCTCTTCCAGCTCTATGATTCTATGATTCTATGATTCTATGATTCTATGACCCACACAGGGACCGCCGTCTGGGGGACTGCCTTCAGCCCTGGCCCCCCTGGGCATGTGGACATGGCCACTCCCTCTGGATCCCTTTAACGGGATACCCCAGCATTTGGAGGGGCAGGCGGAGACTACAACCTCCCCTCCATCCAAAACAAAGGATTGCCCCAATGCCCAACCAGTTGTGATGATTGCTATGAAGTAGGCAAAACCACCAGGTCAGTGACAATTTGCCCTGTGGGCAAATTCCTACCCGGCCCCTTGAAGGACGGCGACCACCGTAGCCACAGCAAAGTCATTGACTATCGGCTTAAACTGAGGGTAGGTTGGTGGCAGGAACAAACAGGTTGAGCTCCAGGTGCTGGCTGCTTAAATGAACAAGGGGTGGATCCGAGGGAAGCCCGCCGTCGGCTCCATCTGCAGCACCCCCGGCACAGCCCAAGGCCCAGCCTGCAGCCCCATTTGTCAAAGCAGGGGACAGGCTAGGATTTGGTTCCTGATAGACGGAGAGGGTTCATGCCCCCTCCACCTATCAGGAAAGGCACAGCAGTTTGAATTCCCATGTTGGGGCCCCAGTGAAGCCTCCTCCATCCCACAATGCCACCACATGCAAAAGGGGTGAGCGGGCTTGTTGTTGAAACTACCGTATTTTTCGCACCATAGGGCGCACCGGACCATAGGGCGCACCTAGTTATGGGAGGCGGAAAACAAGAAAAAATTATTCTGAACCCCAGAAGCCAGAACAGCAAGAGGGATCTGGCTTCTGGGATACCGTGTGGCTGTTCTGGCTTCTGGGGTAACCACGCCAAGCCTCCTCAGGGCAGCGGGATGAAGGCTCCCCCTGCCCAAAGAGGCTGCGAGGGCTAAAGCAGAAGCCAGGACAGACGTGTCGCTGAAGGGGCACTGCGCCTTCTCTCTCTCTGTGCAGCGCCCCTCCTTCACAGAAGAGGCACTGCGCAGAGAGGGAGAGGGTGCAGCGCCCCTTCAGTGAAGCTGGAGAAGGAACAGAAGAAGACCCTTCTGTTCCTCCTCCGGCTTCGCTGGACAGGCGCGTCGCTGCGAAGCGGGAGGAGGAACAGAAGGAGTCCCTTCTGTTCCTCCTCCGCCTTCGCAAGACAGGCGCGTCGCTCAAGGGGCGCTACGCCTTCTCTCTCTCTGCGCAGCGCCACTACTTCACAGGAGAGGCACTGCGCAGAGAGGAAAGGCGCAGCGCCCTTCAGCGAGCTGGAGAAGGAACAGAAGGAGACCTTCTGTTCCCCCTCCGGCTTCCAGGACAGGCGCGTCGCCGCGAAGCCAAGGAACCTGCATTCGCTCCATAGGACGCACACACATTTCCCCTTCATTTTTGGAGGGGAAAAAGTGCGTCCTATAGAGCGAAAAATACGGTACATTGCTTCATATACAGCTCTTGGTTTTGAAGAGTGCGTCTCATGTTAGCATTCCCTTTATCTGCTTTCTGTTGTCAAAATGACTAGTCTCTTCTCCCACATTTGTTAGCTCAAGCCTAGGAGTAGGGAGGGATGAAATGTTTCAGTTTCTAACAGCGAAAAATAGCTATCTACTCACCTCAGGTCTCTCGCTTAAAAATCAACAAGAGGAGACTGAGAGGAGATATGCTGGCCATCTTCAAATATCGAAAGGGCTGTCACGTGGTGGAAGGAACAGGCTTGCTTTCTCCTGCTCCTTAAGATACTGGTTACAATAAAGCAGATTCTGACTATACATCAGGAAGAACTTTCTGGAAGTAAAAACTGTTCATTTTTTTAAAAATGATATTTATTAAAAGTTTAAAAATTACAGAAAAAAGAAGAAAAAAGAAAAAAGAAAATATAACAATAAAAAAGAAAAAGAACAATAACAAAACATATAAAACATATAGAAACCATACATCAATACAGCAAAAAAGACAGACAAAAAAGAAAACTAAAACACACATCCAGTATTCCATGTCTTTACCTTTCCTTTACTTGTTTCATTGACCTCCTCACACCTCCCTTTATTTGTATTCTAGTTCAATTCACTATTTCAGCAAGTTCTTCCCATCTTTCTCAATTTTTATTCTATAGTTTATCTTAACGGTCTAACCTTAAATTTTTTCAATTTAACCCATTATCAATCAAATTTTACTTAATTCTTTGTTGTATTTCTACTAAAACCATGTAACTTCATTCTCGCATCCTTCTAATACTCATTAATTTTACAATGTTTCTGTAAGTATACTTTAAATTTTTTCCAATCTTCTTCCACCGACTCTTCTCCCTGGTCTCGAATTCTGCCAGTCATTTCTGCCAGTTCCATATAGTCCATCAGCTTCATCTGCCATTCTTCCCTGGTGGGTAGGTCTTGTGTCTTCCAATACTTTGCAATGAGTATTCTTGCTGCTGTTGTAGTGTACATAAAGAAAGTTCTATCTTTCTTTGGCACCAATTGGCCGACCATGCCCAGGAGAAAGGCCTCTGGTTTCTTCAGGAAGGTATATTTATATACCTTTTTCATTTCGTTATAGATCATCTCCCAGAATGCCTTAATCTTTGGGCATGTCCACCAAAGGTGAAAGAATGTACCTTCAGTTTCATTACATTTCCAACATTTATTATCGGGCAAATGATAGATTTTTGCAAGCTTGACTGGTGTTATGTACCACCTATAAATCATTTTCATTAAATTCTCTTTTAAGGCATTGCATGCCGTAAACTTCATACCAGTGGTCCATAACTGTTCCCAGTCAGCCATCATAATATTATGTCCAACATCTTATGCCCATTTAATCATAGCAGATTTCACCATTTCATCTTGAGTATTCCATTTCAACAGCAAGTTATACATTCTTGACAAATTCTTAACTTTAGGGTCTAACAATTCTGTTTCCAACTTTGATTTTTCCATCTGGAAGCCAATTTTTTTATCCAAATTGTACGCCTCCATTATTTGATAATAATGGAGCCAATCTCGTACTCTGTTTTTAATTTTTCAAAACTCTGCAGTTTTAGTCTGTCTCCCTCTTGTTCCAAAATTTCCCAATACTTCGGCCATTTGGCCTCCATATTGAGTTTTTTCTGAGCCTTTGCTTCCATTGGTGACAACCATCTTGGGGTTTTATTTTCTAACAAATCCTTATATCTTATCCAGACATTAAACAGTGCTTTTCTTACAATATGGTTTTTGAACGCTTTGTGTGCTTTAACCTTATCATACCACAAATATGCATGCCAACCAAATACATTGTTGAAACCTTCCAAATCCAAAACATCCGTGTAATGTAAGTAAAAACTGTTCAACAGTGGAACAGACTTCCTTTAAAGATGGTGGATTCTCCTTCATTTGAGGTTTTTAGCAGAGGTTGGGTGGCCATCTCTCAGGTATAATCTAGTTGAGATTCCTGCATTGCAGGGGGTTGGGCCCTTGGGGTCCCTTCCAACTTTATGATTCTATGAGTAGGACATAATCTAGTCTTGCCCCTTTGATTTATTTGGCAAACAGCCTGAAAGCAAAAGCATTATCCATGCTGGTAGCCGCACTTCTCGTTCTGGTTGACAAGCCAGTGAATTCTGACACTTAAAAACATCTTGAGATGCAAACATTTTCTGTTCAGTTTGTTTTTTCTTCCTTCTTCTCCCCCTGAACAGGCTCTTCTGGAGAAGGCAGGCTCAGCTGACGTCAAGCGTACAGCCACTTTCCATCACAAGCTCTTTCCCTCAGCTCATGTCGAACGTGGACGCTGCCTACGAAGTAGCTGACAGAGGAGTTGCTTATTTTTTCAAGGGTGAGTGACGCTTGAAAGCTGTTGCACTTTGGCTCCAGAATATTAAGTATACCAAGGATTGTGCATCATTTCCATATTGACAACACTTAAAGGTAAAGGTAAAGGGACCCCTGACCATTAAGTCCAGTCGTGACCGATTCTGGGGTTGTAGCGCTCATCTCGCTTTATTGGCCAAGGGAGCCGGCATACAGCTTCCAGGTCATGTGGCCAGCATGACTAAGCCGCTTCTGGCGAACCAGAGCAGCGCACGGAAACGCCGTTTACCTTCCCGCTGGAGCGGTACCTATTTATCTACTTGCACTTTGACCTGCTTTTGAACTGCTAGGTTGACAGGAGCAGGGACCGAGCAATGGGAGCTCACCCCATCGCGGGGATTCGAACCACCGACCTTCTGATCAGCAAGTCCTAGGATCTGTGGTTTAACCCACAGTGCTTACTAAGATTCTTATTCATCCTGAAAACAGCATTGTGAGAAATGCCGGTTGATTAAGCCACTCAGAAATTGCCAAGCCTAGCTGGGAGCAGCATTCAGCTTAGCAGGCTGCATGGTGCAGCAGAGAGTAGCCAACAGGATGCCGTACAGATGTTGTTGGACTACAACTTCTATCCTCCATGAACACTGGCCATGCTAGTTGGGGCTGTTGGGAACTTGAGCCCCACAACATCTGGAAGGGGGCGCTATGATGGATAACCTTGACATAACACCATTCTGAGAAGAGGGCTCTGGAAAAATAATGGAGGTCACCACCTCAGGACGCCATTTTGATTTACCCAAGCCTCCTCAGAATGTGGTCAGCAATGGGAAAAGAAGGAAGCTTTCAGCAGAGCTCTTCCCCAAGCAAATTTAATGGGTTTCAATTGGTTGTGGTTGATTTTCTCCACTTCCAGTGAAGAAAAAGAGTTTGGATTTGATATCCCGCTTTATCACTACCCGAAGGAGTCTCAAAGCGGCTAACATTCTCCTTTCCCTTCCTCCCCCACAACAAACACTCTGTGAGGTGAGTGAGTGTGACTAGCCCAAGGTCACCCAGCAGCTGCATGTGGAGGAGCAGGGAATCGAACCTGGTTCCCCAGATTACGAGACTACCACTCTTAACCACTACACCACACTGGCTCAATTGCAGTTAATTAACTGCATCACAGTCAGTTACAGGTTTTTTGTTCCAGTGAGTGAACTCAATGGGTTCTTCTGTTGATGGAATTAGACACAAATCCAAACTCACTTTGTAGAATACTCTTCGCATTGACATCAGACATGTGTCAGCAGTTTTGGTCTTTCAACACATATTAAAGCCCTTAATAAAAAAAAATTATAATTCCCAAGCATTCCTGGGTTAGCAACCTAGCCACATTTCAATCATATACTAGTTGTCCTGCTGTTCTAATTCACCTATGGGGAACCACAGGCTTAATTCGGTCTTTCAGGACTCCCCACAAGGCCAGTTCAGCCAAGCCACAACTACCTGACATCATATGTTAGCCAGAAGGGGGTTTGCAGGCTCCACAAATCAGCAAAGACCTGTGAACTTACTATTATTATTATTTGCTGTTGTTTTTATAATATTGCTGACATTGCTGGTTTTTGTATTCTACCATACACTGCTTTGAAATTTTTGTGGTTATGTGGTCTATAAGTACTGTACACAAGTAAATAAATCAAAGGTTAGATGTTGGGAGATTCAAGCTATAAATGTCCTCGAAGCAAATATATTGTTGTGTTGTTGTTGCTGCTGTTGTTGATTCCTGTTTGCCAGGCCCCCATTACTGGACAACTCGCGGGTTCCAAATGCAGGGCTCTCCACGAGCCATCGCAGACTTTGGATTTCCTAGGAATGTGCTACAAATAGATGCAGCTGTCTACCTGAGGGATGAAAAGAAGACGCTCTTCTTTGTAGGAGATGACTATTACAGGTTCATTTATTATTGCTTCTTAATACAAACATTGGGGGGTGGGGGAATCACTTGTGAAACCAGACATCATCCCTTGGTGCTGAAAAGAAGTGGGGGGGGGGGAGAGGACATGCTTTCCTTTCTCATAATATTTGAACTTGGAGTCACCTAGTTAAGGTGATTGGTTCAGAACCAATTAAGTGTAAGCTCTAGTGGGTTTTTTCAACTGCCCCTCTGCAAAACAGGTCTATTGCATGGAGGAGAATGCAATTGTAAGCATCCTTTTTTCAAAAAAGAGAGCAAGAGGGAGAAATGCTCAGGAAGTTTATCTTTTGCATGCCCATTCCCTGCCCTGGGGCTGTATTTTTAACAAGTTTACAGCTATGCTAGTCACCTTCAATTGTGTGTGGGTGTGTTTCGCTGCAGCTGAACAGACATTCAGGTGGCAATCTTATACTCATCTAGGAACAAGTCCCACTGAACTGAGCGTGGCTTAGTTCTGAGTGGAAATGTCAGATACAGATTTCCATACCTTAATCAGGATGGAACTATGGCTTCCCTTTTTCTAGCATTACTTATTACATAATCCAGGCAACCTGTTGTCGTCCCCAATCCACACTTCTCAGTGGATAATTTGCAAGGATTGGGGCTTCCATTTAACTATTAAACCTTTGGTACCAAATAGTATGGGAAACAGCCTTACTAGAAAAATTAACCAATAAACTGAAACTGACACAGGGCTCAAATAGAAGAAGACGCCTTCACCCCAGTATGGCTCCCCTTTATCACATACACAGCCCAACAAGACAATGACAAAAATCCACCAACAGCATACAAATCAATATGGCTAACCTGATCCAAAACACCCACGCACCCCCCCTCACACATGAAAACAAAGATCACCACAGCCAGTCACAAACAAACAACCACACCCTGGGCCAACCCCAACCTCTCTCACCACCAAAGGAACACAAGTGAATAGTAGAGAACCTGCACAAGCGACGCTGACACCAAACCCCACATATATTAAGTATAATAGAAACATTGCCACCCGACCCCACCCCCACCCATCTTTCCCCTTCCCCTTCTTCTTCCTAATGTCTCAACAAATGAAAGTGATCTGTAAAAAAATGTTACTTGGAGAAAAGAGAGAGAGAGAGAGAGAGAGAGAGAGAGATTGCACATACTTTTGTAAACTAAGAAAATCTTTAATAAAAATACATTTTAAAAAAACTATTAAACCTTTGATTAGGTAAAATTCACAAAGCACACTTTTTAATGTGCGCAGTCATGGGGGGGGGGGGGAGAGAGAGAGAGAGAGAGAGAGAGAGAGAGAGAGAGACAGACTAGTGGAAGAACCAAACATGCACAAATTCCAGATTAATCCTAGACATTTTCCAAAAAGAATCCAAGGGCAGGTGGAATCAAAGGTGGGTTACCACTGATCTGCTGAAGACTAACAAGATGGAATGTGAGAAATCTGCCCCTTGCCTAGAACAAAGAGAAGTACTTTTTTGCATAATGCACAGTTCTCTACCACAAGATACAGTGATGCCTATTGACACAGATGCTTCTGTCAGCAGCTATTAGTCACGTTACCTAATGGAACGTCCATATACAGACACAGTATAGCTCTGTATATACCATGTTCTGTTTATGAAGACCCAAAGCTATCTGGCTCACTGCTGTTAAAAACAGAATGGCAGGCTTGGGCTTGTTTGTTTGTTTACTAGATTTATTCCATGCCCCTCTACAAAGAAATATTAACTGTGTGCTAAGATGGACCTTAGTCTATTTCGACAAACTAAGTGATCAGGCAATGATAAGCCTCAAGTCACAACTAAACAACGAACTAGATGAGACCTGGCTAGGCAATTCTTTCACACAATCAAAAGCACTTTTGACTCAAAGCTTGCTGTCCCGTTGCAATCATTACAGCGAAACTGCTTTTCCAAGAACGTCTTGCATATGGTATAAAAATAAACCTTCTATAGTGTGGGTTGAAACCTATTTATATCTTGATAGACAAGAGCAATAGGTTTGAAATTCTCCTTTTATGGCATTCCTTTCTCTCAAAAGCTATGACGAAGCCAAAAGAAAAATGGAAAAGGATTTCCCAAAGAGCATCGAGGACGAGTTCTCGGGAATCAGTGGCAGGATTGATGCAGCAGTAGAAGTAAATGGTAAGTAGTTACTCCATCATGATGCATCATCAATACAGGGTAGCTAATGTTGCACTGCAGACTGGGCGACAGCTTACATTATGCCTGGGCAATGGCCAAGGTGGCTTGGGCTGATGGGAACTGGAGTCCAACAACAAAGGGTACCACATTGGCTGCCCCATCTTAGACAAAAGCAGGACTTCCTGGCAAAGGCATCACTGCCATTTACCAGGACGCAGTGGGGTAGGACAGAGGTACCATCCCAGTAGGTGGCAGGGAGGCATGCCAACTGCTCCTAGGAGTGTCAGACACATGGCCTTGGTGTCCCAGAGGCCACAGCCCACCCATCACATAGTTGGCTGAACTATCTTTTAGGCTAAGAACCAATACACCCTTAGCCTACTAATGCATCACTGACTCGTCCATCTTACTTCCCCTACAATTCCTTCTCAGGCCCAATGAAAATGTGACATTGGGGGGCAAGATTTGGCCGTGTAATAATTCCATATGGTTTATATAATTTCAATACACCTACCCATTTGGTGTGGGTGCAGGATCAATACACCCATGATCTGTGATCCTGGACAGCAGGATCTTCTTCTGCCTATATAAATGTTTGCAAGGGATAAGTACATTTGCACCAAGCTCTTATACAACAAAGTGCTTTTACCTCATATTTAAATCAGGCCACAGAGGACAGATTTTGCAAGCATTTGCAAAGTAAAGCAGAGCAGAACTGAACTGAACACAGTAAAGTGCAGTAATACAAGCCCACTGGAGACACAATCTTTCCTTTACTGCTCGATAAGGCAGAGTGGGTTTGGGGGAGGGGAGGAATCAATGCATTTGAATGGTGAATTGGAAATTTTCAGTGAAAAATATATAACACCCCAATTTTGCATGTGTTCAAAGAACACACAAATGTGCACGTGTGGGCCATTTTCAGATCCAGAAGAGAGTGGGGCAGGCTTTTGCGCATTCTGCCGATGCATGCGATGACCCTGAATGCAATCCTTGTGCAAATCAGGGGTTGCCTGTCCCTAGATGCATATCATATAGGGGATTTGGTACTCTATCCCCTGGAATAAAAATGCAATCACTCGTGCAACTTTAAGATCAATAATGCCTAAGCCTAAGACGCTGAAGAGCTGCTTCCCTCAAGGGCAAAAAGAATTCAGATTTGAAATAAGTTATTAAGTGCTGTGGTACGCAATGCAGAAGTGCTACTGAGGCCAGTTTAGGGTGCACAATCTCCCATCAAAGCCTTCAGAATTGATGTCATCTCAAGCGGCTTTCCTCAGGGAACCCGTGTAAAGTTCTCTGGAGAGCATCTGAAATCCGGTCTTTTCAGTGGTGGCACCGAAAAGCTGTGGAACCCCCATCCTCTTGGAGGCTTGTCAAGCTGCACCTCTACAGTTTTGCATAGCTTGTGACACACTTTTGGCACGAACATTTCCTTGCTGCTGTTGTGTTACTTTGATGGATGTTCTTACATAATTTTCTTTTAAAGGTCGATTTTATCATTGCCTCTCCTTTTTTGTTATTGTACACTGCTTGGTTTTTTTTAATGGAAAACGGGTACATCAGCTGATTAAACAAAGAAAAGAAGGAACTTTGTGAGTGGGGATACAGAGGTCGTATTTCACAACTGTACCAAGAGGTCTATAGTATTGTTTGGTTCCTCGAAGATTAAGCCCCCCTGATTAGTAGTTCCTACTTTTGTTTCCTTTCCTTTTTAGGTCACATTTACTTCTTCTCAGGCCCCAAAGCCTATAAATACGACAAGGAAAAGGAAGATGTGGTTAATATTGTGAAATCCAGCTCCTGGGTGGGCTGCTGAACTGAAATGGGAAGTGGATTATCACAGTGAGCTAGAAGATAACTGGAAACTTTGGAGCCTGTCAGCCAAAATCACATTCTGTGGATTTGATTCCAGAAGCACAATGGCAAAAGGATGTGCCGTTATTGCTCAAGCCCAGGAAAAAAAAGAAGAGGGGGAACGCATCGAAATAAATGACACAATAGCATTTCAAGATAGCTTGGGGAAATCCCTAGGGGAAAAATTCCATGTACTCATCTTTTAAAAGTCTGGTATCTTCAGGGATAGAAAGCAAAGATGGACCCCAGTGCTCTGCTGACTCTTCTACCCCAACAATGTTTCCTCAGAACAACGGTTGCATTATGCCAGGGGATAGGGATAGGGGATGATCGCCACCACTGAAGGGCTGCCATTTCCATCCCATAATGCCCCTGGAACCACACTAAGCACCGCATAGCATCACTGAAAGCGTGTGATGATGTGTTGAAGTGCAAATGATGGCAACTGGTTGTGTGTTTCAGTCAAGGATTACTGTTGTTAGCCGCTCTGAGCCCGGCTTCGGCTGGGGAGGGCGGGATATAAATAAATTTTGTTATTATTATTATTATTATTATTAAGGATGGGAGAGAAGTTCCATTCAGGCCCCACCTACACCATATATTTAAAGCATTATTATGCCACTTTAAACCATCATAGAATCATAGAATCATAGAGTTGGAAGAAACCACAAGGGCCATCGACTCCAACCCCCTGCCAAGCAGGAAACACCATCAGAGCACTCCTGACATATGGTTGTCAAGCCTCTGCTTAAAGACCTCCAAAGAAGGAGACTCCACCACACTCCTTGGCAGCAAATTCCACTGTCGAACAGCTCTTACTGTCAGGAAGTTCTTCCTAATGTTTAGGTGGAATCTTCTTTCTTGTAGTTTGGATCCATTGCTCCATGTCCGCTTCTCTGGAGCAGCAGAAAACAACCTTTCTCTCTCCTCTATGTGACATCCTTTTATATATTTGAACATGGCTATCATATCACCCCTTAACCTCCTCTTCTCCAGGCTAAACATGCCCAGCTCCCTTAGCCGTTCCTCATAAGGCATCGTTTCCAGGCCTTTGACCATTTTGGTTGCCCTCCTCTGGACACGTTCCAGTTTGTCAGTGTCCTTCTTGAACTGTGGTGCCCAGAACTGGACACAGGTGAGGTCTGACCAGAGCAGAATACAGTGGCACTATTACTTCCCTTGATCATCATAGCTTCCCCCCAAAGAATCCTGGGAACTGTATGGGTGCTGAGAGCTGTTAGAAGGTCCCTTTCCCCACGTGGTTCTACAATTCTTAGAATGGTTGCAAAATGCCTCTTCTTGGATTTTTTTGCTCTGTGAGGGGAACTCCAAACAACTTTAACCCACCACAGTCTGCAGGGAAGCTGTGGTTGTTTGAAGCTGTACGATAATACTTTAAATGCATAATGCAGATGGCACCTCAGTTAATATTTAAAGACAGATTTGCCTAAGTCATGCTTTCTGAAACAATACACAAACCGGTAACAAAAGCCATCCTTGGAACATTGCCCTTCTCCTCCCAAGAAATGTATACAATAATACAAAAGTGTGCACTCAAATGCATATGTAAGACTGGAATGTCCCTCTGAAATTTTGGAATGCAGTGAGGGGGCTTTTTATTTGTCTTGAAAATGAGGAAGAAAAATGTCTAGGGCAAACGAGATGGGAGAGCAAACCAAATTGCTACCCAGAGGAATGGATGCGAAACAATTCACGAGGGAAAGTACAGATTAACGACTTGCCTAATCCTTGGATTTTTATGTTGTGAACTGGCCTGTGATCTTCGGATGAACGGTGGTATGCAAATTTAATAAATAATAATATATTGATGAAAACAACATATAGAAATGTATTATATTGGGGAAACTGCTTTGCAAAAATGTGTATACATATTAGGCAAAATTGCATAGAAAAGTGCATTAAAATGCTGGAGAGTTTTCATGATAAAATAAATTTGCATAAAACTGATGAGAAAATGTGGGGAACTGGGCTTAGGATTGGGGGGGAAATGAGAAATGGTCAGAGTCACCCATCCCAAGTCACAGCTGCTGCTTGCAGCAGAAGTAACAAAAATGAAAGCCTGCTGCCACCCCATACGTCATCTCGGGAAAATAATCTTCCCACTTCTTCCTGCAAAAAGAAAATCAGCACATGACCCACATTCACTGCTTGCAAATGGGGCAACATGTGTGTGGTGGCCATTTTCACCCCACTCTAGTTTCAGATCACAGGTGAGTATTCATTCCAGAAGAAGAAGAAGAAGAAGAAGAAGAAGAAGAAGAAGAAGAAGAAGAAGAAGAAGAATTTGGATTTGATATCTCGCTTTATCACTACCCGAAGGAGTCTCAATGTGGCTAACAATCTCCTTTCCCTTCCTCCCCCACAACAAACACTCTGTGAGGTGAGTGGGGCTGAGAGACTTCAGAGAAGTGTGACTAGCCCAAGGTCACCCAGCAGCTGCATGTGGAGGAGCGGAGACGCGAACCTGGTTCCCCACATTACGAGTCTACCACTCTTAACCACTACACCACACCTGAGGCCAGGTTGCACTCTACACCAGAGTAGAGAACTTATTGTATTGTATTGAGTCTAAGGGTGGCATTTGCTCCAGGGCAACCTTTCAGTGGAAGGTGGACATTAGTGGTGATTCTTGTGCCCAGTGCTTTTTTCTTCTTCTAGAAAAACAAGTCTTGGTACTCACCAACAAGCGAGGGTGGGTGGGGGGCATGGCCTGACATCAAAGAAAGGAAGCATTTCTCCGTGCTTTCCAGTTTATTATAGCGAGGAAAGTAACCTAACACAATCTGTACTGAGAATCACAGCGATGATGGCAAGCATGCTCACTCTCTCTGCAGTGATTGCAACCTCAATTACTGTGTTATTTTTTAAGCTGCAGGGATGGCGGAAGTTGAGCAATCCTAATAAAGAACCCAAACACTTGAGGAGATAAGTGTTGGATAGCCTTGCCCAAGCCACAGAGATGTACAAATTTCCCCCGCCTGCAGCTCTCTAAACCGTACCAATGTTCAGGCATAGCGGCCCCGGTCCTAGGCATGTTTACTCAGAAGCAAGACCACAGAATTCAATGGGGCTCACTCAGTGACGGCTGGGGCCCATTGAGAACAGTAGGGCAAAATGCAGGAAGCCCAAACAGTAGGTGGGTGGCACTGAGAATATAAGGACAAGCACGACAAGCTGCCCCCTTCTCTAATTGTTGCAAGTATGCAAGCAACAGAGGACTAGTTGATGGTAGTTGGTGGCATAGAAACCAATTCTATAGGACTGAGGCATCTTCAGCCCCTGAAAAGTCTGTTGGGATGGGGCTGAGCCCCCTCAATCTTGAGGAGACAGAGGAGGCTAAGTGCAGAGTTGGGCTCTGTGCTTGGTCTCCTCCTGATGGTCAGCCTCTTCCACCCAAGCCCCTTTCTTGTGATGGGGCGGTGAGGACTGTCTGGAGGGTTCTGGGGGTGTTTCACCAGAAGCTTGTTCGAGTAGGACTCTGGCAAAGACACATGCCCGACTGACATGTTCTCTCCCTCCTGGTCGATCATTTGGGAGCTTCAAAAGCTTTCTTCAGCCCGAACATCACAGCGACCAATTCCAACATTGGCACACTTAGGGATCCGCAGAGTCTGTGCAGTTCGTGTGACAGACCTCAGCAACTCAGCATTTTGGCTAATCTACTTTATTAACATATAAACACACACGGAGCACTGCAACATGGCTCCCTCTTTCTCAAGCATCAGACAGCAAAGAGAAAAAACAAAGGACAATAGTCCCACTTCACGGAACACAGTAATACAAACATCCTGTCTCCATCACTTCCCACTCTGTGGAGTCAAAACATAAACCGTCATGTGAAAGACAACAATCCCATGACTGCAATCACGGAGCAGGAATTCTAACAGGGGGCATCGCAAGATTGCTTGGAGTGGCAGTGAAAGGATGGCTCCCCTTTCCAGCCCTGTCGCTGCTCTGTCTCCCAATGCATCACCCACTGCCTCTTCTGTGCCTCCCAGTCCAGGGCAGGGCAAGCGGGGACAATGAGTCCCATGATGCCTCGGCCCCATCCTCTTCATCCGCCAAGCTCACTTCCGCTATAGGGCCAGGGGTGGTGAGACCAGCAAGCCAGGAGCTCAGTGCAACACCATACCATGTAACCAGGGTCCGCACTCAGCCTCGTCTTGATGCGATAGTCATGTACACGATGCTCGCCATCACATGTGCGGTGCGTATGATGTCACACACGCACAATGGGCCCCCCAATGTTGGGTGCAACTCAGCGCCTCCGGTTGGTGTAGCAGTACCCCATATTTCCTAATACCTAGCCTCCCCTGGGCTTTTTCGGATGCAAGCATGTTTCAGATTGTAGCCTTAAAGGCTGTTTTTGGTGAGCTTAATGTTTGTAAGATTCTGTTCTTAGGGAAATAGAAGGAAGAACTGGGCATGACCCAACATTTCATAATGAACAGGTGGTGCCTTAAAAAAAATGGTATTTAAATCTTTTTTTAAAAAAAGTATTTCCTGATCCTGGGGTTTAGTTTGAGCTATTCAGTATGAGCCTCTCATTGGTTAGTCAATTGCTTGGGTTATGGAATGTGTAATCAGTTAATCAGTGGGCGACCTGCGTTTGTGTGCTGGTGTACATGTCGACAGAGTGAGTCCAGGAAATGGCCAGGTGTGGAGGAAAGACATTCTCTTCCATGCCATGTCAGTGACTCATTTTTGAAAGCATCCTACTGCCATTTCCCATGCGTGCTCACCACACATGTAAAGCACATTTTAAAGCTACCTTAACAGTCATGCCCTCCCTCCCCTCACAAGAGGGGAAACTGCAGCTTGCCCCCACAGAGATACGACCTGGAGCAACTTTAGCAAACTACAGTTAAACCATGTTGCTTTGATTGCTGGGAACAGATGCAATCAGCCAATGCAGGATTTAACCCCACCCACCTGTCGGATGACACCACAAGTTATTACAGCTGATGGATTATGGATGACGTCACAAGTTCTGACAAGCATGGGGAAACTGCCTTGCAAGTAAATTTTGACCCCCTGGTAGAACAAAAGTTGACCATTGACTGGAGGTTTCCCTCTTCTGTTTCATAGTATTACTGCCCAGGCCTGTTCTTCAGAATTCGCTTCCTAGAAGGACATGTATAAATCCATTTTTGCCGGGTTTTTAGCCATCCGTTCTAATTTGGGACAGTTAGTTAAAACTCCAGTACACTTCTGTTTTGCTTGGTCCTTATTCCTTATTTTTCTCCCTTCTAATCTTTTTGTTGTTGTTGTTGACAGTGGCTTTGTGCTAATGAATTATTTTGAAGTGTGCTTTAATAAATGAACACATGTACACACACACACACACACACACAAAAACAAAACACAAACACATTTGGCATTGTGTCAAAATGGGCTGCTTGATCAGCTGTCCCATGAGCTGTTACTTCTCATATAGTTCTTGGTAGACAAGGAGAACTGAGTGACGTCTTCCTTTAGGCAACTCTGGGTGCCTGAAATGGCTCATCGGTCTCTCTCTTGTGCAAGAGGAATAACACAAATTCCTTCTTTCCCCCCTCTCGTGTAATTTTACAGACTTTGAATTATTTCCACCATCCCTATAGCTTTCAGAATTTACACTGTTCTGACTGGCAGCAGGGTCTGAGGCAAAGGTCTGTCATAACTATGTAAGAGCCTGCTGGATAATAATTACAATCACAATCATAATCATTTAATATTTATACCTCATCCATCTGGCTGGTTTCCCCAGCCACTCTGGGCAGCTCTTAACTGAATATTAAGAACACGATAAGACATGAAACATTAAAAATTTCCCTAAACAGGGCTGCCTTCAGATGTCTTCTAAAAGTCAGATATTTGTTTATTTCCTTGACATCTGATGGGAGGGCATTCCACAGGGCAGGCGCCACTACCGAGAAGGCCCTCTGCCTGGTTCCCTGTAACTTCACTTCACACAGTGAGGGAACAGCCAGAAGGTCCTTGGAGCTGGACCTTGGTGTCCGGGCAGAACAATGGCAGTGGAGATGCTCCTTCAGGTATACAGGGCCGAGGCTATTTAGAGCTTTAAAGGTCAGCACCAACAGTTTGAATTGTGCTCAGAAACATACTGGGAGCCAATATAGGTATTTCAGGACCGGTGTTATATGGTCTTCCAGTCACCAGTCTAGCTGCCGCATTCTGGATTACTTATAGTTCCCAGGTCACTTTCAGAGGTAGCCCCACGTAGGCACATTGCAGTAGTCCAAGCAAAATAATCCATCTAGGCCAACAAAATGGAAAGAGCGTAGCAGCCTCAGATCATCACTAACAACAGCACCATTTTAGCTGGGGGAGCCAAAGCAGCGTCCTCCAGATGTTTCAAGTCTACAAGATCCTATAATCCCTGACCATCGACCATGTTGGAGGTCATTATGGTGGCTATCCCTGACCTGGGACCTTCTGCATGCAAAGTTTGGTACACTCTGCAGCTGAGCAATGCTCCCTTTGTTTCTGAAAACGACAAAATTAACCCACATGTAGGTTACTGTGCAAGAATCAGGTCAGGTGTGAGGCAACCTTTTGCCCTCCAGGTGTTGCTGGACTTCTTCTCCCATTATCTCTGACCGTTGGTTGTTGCTGGCTGGGGATGATGGGAGCTAAGAGTTCAGCAAAATCTGGAAGAACATCAGTTCCCCATCCTTGAATTGGGTGTCTGCTTGGTGCTCATTGTCTTATATTCATAGATCTCTCTTCATCTGCTAGTTTCATGATACTTCAAGTCATCTCTTTAGCATGTACAGAGGTCCTTTGAGGATACTGGCAGTCCTTTCTACCTAAAATCTCTTGATCCTTTTTTTCTTGATCCTTCCCCCCCCCCCTTCCTTGTCATTCCCCTAATAGCCAGCTGCTCAGAAATGGATTTCAACATGCCTGAGAGATGCCTGAGTCACTCTTGGCAACAGCACATCAACTGCAGTAAAGCTGTGAGATACAATCAGAGAGATAAATTGTCACCAGAGGATGTGGGGTCTACTTGGGTACGTTTCTTCAGTTTATGAAACTCATTGTTTGCTCTTGCAAAATGGACTGGAATATAGGGCATGGTCTGGTTTCACTTTTGCAGACGTAGTAAAAATCTATCTTGCAGGCTGATAAATGAATAAGTAGCCGCCTGATTTGTCCAGAGACTGCTTTACAAAATTCCATCTTATGTCATCACTGGAACATTACTGAATGTACCTGTTATTTTAAGTATCCACAATCCCACCACTGCTAGAACTCTAGCAAAGTGCAACATTTTGTTTCAGGTCTCACTTGTTAAGGAATAATAGGCATTTATCATAGGAGCCACTCGAGGCCTTAAATGTAACTGCTTTAGTACACAACTGTGATTAATGTGCACTCATTTATCTGAGTATGTGCTTTGATTTAATTTCTGCATTTCGTGACTTTGTGGCCGGGGACTAAATTCTGGAAGTATGGAAACAGTCGACATAAACCTCAACTGCATGCGAACTGGTTTCTTCTATTTACAGTTTAGGATTTATTTAGGGACGCGGGTGGCGCTGTGGGTTAAACTACAGAGCCTGGGACTTGCCGATCACAAGGTTGGCGGTTCGAATCCCCGCGATGGGGTGAGCTCCCATTGCTCGGTCCCTGCTCCTGCCAACCTAGCAGTTCGAAAGCACACCAGTGCAAGTAGATAAACAGGTACCGCTCCGGCGGAAAGGTACATGGCATTTCCGTGCGCTGCTCTGGTTCTCCAGAAGCGGCTTAGTCATGCTGGCCACATGACCCAGAAGCTGTACGCTGGCTCCCTCGGCCAATAAAGCAAGATGAGCACTGCAACCCCAGAGTCGGCCATGACTGGACCTAATGGTCAGGGGTCCCTTTACCTTTACCTTTACTATTTATTTAGGATCTGCGGTTTAGGATTGATTTATTTTCAGTTTGAGCTGAGCTGCTGAATTTTTCACACGCAGAAGAAGTTCAACAGCAACATTTTTTATTATTATTAGGCTAATCAATATAGTAAATAAATAAATCATGCAGAATAGCAAAAATTGCAGAAATAGGGGAAATGATTGTGCAACTTTCAACGGGCCACAAAATTCAGCTTCTTTTGCTGCAGATTTTTGATTTTTTGGATACTGACTTTTGAACTCCTGGTGCCCACAGACCATCTTATATTCTAGTCAGGGGCTTTAAAAACAATAGTAAAAAGAAAGAAAGAAAATCACATGGGCTGCCTCATACTGGGCAGAAGAAAGTGCTTCCTTACAGAGAAAAGCAAAGGACCCATAACCCAAAGCCTGCCTCGTGATTTTAACTCATCCATGCTGCAGAATATTTAACCACAAACCCAGTGCCTTCTGTAAAATTCTTTTCAGTGTGCTCTGTTTTGATGGAGCACTGGAAGACAAAAATTATACGTTTCTAGCTTAAAGGCATTTTAGAGACAAGTGTTTCAGTTTTTTTGCTCAGTGTGCAAATTCCAGAAAAACCTGAGAGCTACCCAACTGCACAGGCCCGTGCTGGGCATGAAAATGCACTGTGTACAGAGAAACGTCCCTCTTGGTTTGATCTTTCAACCTAGGTATTAAAAGCTGCCTTTATGAATGTTTATGTTCAGTTGAACTCTTATCTCTGGCGTTGCCCCTACAGGAATGGTCAGATTCTCTGGAGCTGGAGACATATAAACAGCAATTTACCAGGCGGAACCTCAAGAAAATGTCTACTGACCTCACTCTGAGTTTTTTTCTCATTCCTTTGAGTTTCAGACAAGCCATGACAAGGTGCTGAAATGAACGAAATTGTTATTTTTCATTGGCAAGAAAACAAAACATTGCTGGGCTGTTTTTCTTGGGCCCTTTTAGAAAGGAAACAGCTGCTAGTATTATTATTAATTAAATCTGTACACCGCCCTTCATCCAAAAATCACAGGGCTGTTCACTACATTAAAATACAAAAAGAAAACACAAAATACATAATAAAAAACAAGAACAAACCAATAAACCCCCTCCCACAAACATATTTAAAAGGACATGTGCGGTTCTGTCTACTGAACTGCACAGCAAAATTTAGATGTGCAAATTTCAAACGATAGCGGTGTTTTGGTTCATGTGTGCTTCAGAAAGTGCAAATTTGATAGATCTGGCTTTGGGTGAGACCTGAACTGAATTTCTTCCCCATCCCTAATTAAAAAAAAAAAAAAGCTGAGATTAATTTTTCTGCACTGTAACATGTTATGTCCTAACAAGGACGTGTCTGCAGGGAAAAAAGGCTTCCTTAATCTCCATCTGGGTGCTGTTTTATTGAGCAAGTGGAGACTTCTCAGAAAAAATATGTTAAGGGCTGCTGAGTCATATTAATAGCCGTAACAAATGCAGAACAGCTTGGCTGCATGGGAAATTGACAAATTGTGACACATGTAGCTAAGTTCCTTCTGGGTGCTAAAGGCTTAGCGGTAGCTGATTACTGTATTTGTTTGTTTGTTTGTTTTTTAAAACTGCTTTTTAGGGTTCAGTGTGGCCAAGGTGGCTTCCAACAATATATCGCCACTACAACTTAGTAAATTTAAAACAAAAACGAAACAAACCCACATTAGCAATGACACGAAAATAATAGTAGCAGTAGCATTAAAACAGGACTTACCTCAGAGAATCCAATGCAAAATAGAAGAATTTGTGCGCCGTAGTTCTTTACAGGGTGTGGAAATGCCAGTCAGCATGTGGAGCTTCACTGAGAACTAGAATTTCCCATTTTGCTTGCTATTGATGAGGCAGATCCTCAAGAACAAAAAGTCTGCATACCTACGTTGCTTGCCCTGTGAATATATGCAGGGCTGCCCCATTCCACAGTGGAAGAAAGGCAGATTTCTATGCAAGAAATATCAAACTACAAAAATAAGAAGCTGGTTCCTACAAGCCATGCTGTTGGGCATCATGTAACTCAGTAACATTAATAATAAGAATAAGAATAAGAATAATTGTTTGTATGCCACCCATCTGACTGGGTTGCCCCAACCTCTCTGGGTGGCTCCCAACAGAATATTAAAAATACGATAAAACACCAAACAGTTGTTTGTTCCCTTGACATCTGATGGGAGGGCATTGCACAGGGCAGGGAGACAGTGATGGGCAACAGCTCCCCAGCCATGCAGACAGCAGTCTTTCCCAACCGCATCTGAAATTGGTGCATTCCGTATTCAAACCCTGGACACATGTTATCACAGGGCTGCACCGCTGACCTGAGCACTCTTCAGCCAAGTCAGTGCTGCCTGGATGGAGACGGGCTGGTACAAGATGGTGTTGAGGGCAGTGCAGTGCAAACACAGAAGCAGAACCCATCCAGAGCTCCAGCTGGCACATTTACACCACGCCTACCTCCATTCTGAAGCACATTAGGGAAGTCAGGTGAGTGGCACATGCTGTCTACTGCTTTAGAATGTAAGAAGGGCCTGCTGTATCAGGCCAGCGGCCCATCAAATCCAGCATCCTATCTGAAACCCACAAGCTGGATCCTAACACAATAACATCCTCTCCTGTGATTTCAGAGGCATTGCTGCCTCCAGCTGTGGAGGCATCTGGAGTCATGGCTAGTAACCATCAATAAATAGCCTTTTCCTCCATGTATTCATCTAATCTTCCTTGGAAGCCATCCAAGTTGGTGGCCATCAATGCCCTCTGTCAGGCAAGTTCCATAGTTTAGCTATCTACTGCATGAATCCTCCTGCTGAATCTTCCAATACAGTGGTACCTCGGGTTAAGTACTTAATTCGTTCCGGAGGTCCGTTCTTAACCTGAAACTGTTCTTAACCTGAAGCACCACTTTAGCTAATGGGGCCTCCTGCTGCCGCTGCGCCACCAGAGCACAATTTCTATTCTCATCCTGAAGCAAAGTTCTTAACCTGAAGCACTATTTCTGGGTTAGCGGAATCTGTAACCTGAAGCGTATGTAACCTGAAGCGTATGTAACCTGAGGTACCACTGTATTCAGATTCTTTGGATGCCCATGAATTCTAGTGTTAACAAGGGGGGGACGGGACTTTTCGCCACATACTCTTTCCATGCCATGCATAGTTTTATAAACCTCTGATCAGGTCTCCTCTTCCTTGCCTTCTTCTCTAAACTAAAAAGTCCCAAACGCTGCAAGCTTTCTTCCTGGGGGAAGTAAGCCATGTGCTTCACCGCTGAGCTACGGCCCTGGATGTTCACTGTCTGTCCAAGTGGGTGGGGAAAACCACCTTGTGGTGATACTCCATCTGAACAAATGCAGAGGCCTCAATAGGGAGGGTGCACAAGGCCCAGGCTCTTTGCCTGGACTCCCTCGGCTGAGACCTTGGAGAACAAAATGGCACTCGTTGGAGACAGTTCTGGGCTAGACGAACCAAGGGCTGACTCAGCAGTGTAGGGTTTGTATGTTACAGCATCCTCCAATGCAATTGCTGAAGCGTGTTTCCAGCTTATCCCTGAGGCTAGGATAAAAGGCATGCAGCACAAGGGTAGACAATGCGGTTACCTTCCATGTTTCTTTGGACTCAATTTCCCATCATCCCTTGCCTGTATGGCCAATTGCCGGGGATGATGGGAGCTGCGGTTCATCAACATCTGAAGAGTACCGCATTGACTACTTCTAATTCAGCATATAACCAAGCTGCTGCCACAATATCTCATGTC